AGAGAAAAAAAAGAAACCGAGGAGCAGCAAGGCATTTGGATATGAACGATAACCAATACTTTACATTTATTAATGGAACAGATAGAGGTATGATAAATTATTAGATTAAAATGATACTAGCTCATGTTGCAAGAGTAAACTGCGATTAGGGGCTCCAGAGGAGAGAATGCAGTAATAAAGAATAATGAGTTGTGATATTTATCAAGGTGGAGTAGGTTGCAATGAAGGAGGGAAGTCAGGGTTGGAATGAGGAAGAACAGAGAGTGCATATAGAGAGTAGAGTGTTGAGTAAAATAGCAACCATTTCCTTTACAGTCAGTTTTTTTTCTTTTCTCATCCGATGCCTGCCACACAGTTTTAAAGTAAAAGTCCGAGTTAGCATGTTATAGGTTGTCTTAGTAGAATAGTTAATCCAGCACAAAAATTAGAAACATGAGTCTGAATGGTGAGTGTAGGAGAGCAATCTCAATATCACAGATCTATTGACTTGTTCTCATCCATAAAGAGCCTGATACAAACAAAATGTTCTGCCCCACAAACACGGGTGGATTGAAATCATCGCCCTCACCATCAGTGCTTGCTGGTCAGTAACTCCACCCTCCCTCCTTTTGTGATGTTAGGCTCATTTACGCTTATTTTTTGGATACATATTGTAGCTGTAAATAATTCCCCAAAATCAATAGTTCATTAAGTGTTCGACATTGGATGCTGACCACGTTGTTTAAGTGGACTTGTTTAGCTGAAGGCTTTCGGTCATGCATCCGCACCAGACCACGTTTCAACACGGCGTGGGACACAGCTCCTACGTTTCATTAGCCAGCTCATAGAAAAGTTACTCGATATATTGGTAACGAATCAAATATATCTTTCTTGCCTCTTCTCGTCTGACTTCTGATTTCTATCTGACTGGGAATGATCGAACATAGAAGGTGCTACTGGTAACTAGTTGTAAAATTAGAATATCCGTTGCATCCTCAATATCATACCTCACTTAGCACCACCAGAATTCTAGCACGATTATGCCGAGCTTGGATCTGATGTGTAACGTGAACGTCATGCCACCTTGGAAAAATATTTTGAAGACTGTGCTCAGTGAAATACTAAAGCATAAACCTAATCATTAACGTTCCATGACATCAGCACGAATGAACTATTATTCTCCTTTATAGATCATATTTATTTACCGACCCTACTTGAGGAGCATACTGTGAGCCTATAAGTGTTGTAGTTTGTAGGTCATGCCTGTAAAAATGAAGTGTTACTGCCCTTGCAGAAACATATTATTATTATATCATGTAGACCAAATAACTACCCATCATAGATGAATGAACAAGTCGAGAAACCTCTTAGATGTAGGAAAAAGCACTGGAATATGTTCATCTCTACCGGCTTAGAACATTACAGCTCCAGTTATTGTAAAACTAGGAATGCTTGCAAAGCGTTGGTAATAAAGAATAGATAGTCATATAAAAAGAGGTTGGCTAGAGATTGCGGAAATAGTCCGGAAAGGTCGTTCTCATATTTAAAAAAGCAAACTAACAGGAGTGATGGAATCCCACTACTTTTCGCACAAGAAAATCTGTTGGTATTGGAAAGAGATTATAACGAAAAATTTGAAGCTTTGTCGAAATATTTTATAAAGTGTTTTCTACCGGCAATTACGGACGACCGACAATTGATCCTAATTAGAGTGGCTTGTTGATGGATCCTGTAGTTACCGAGAAAGGGACGGTCATAAGATTATTTCAACATCTCAAACCTGATATATCCAGTGATCTTGACAATATTCATCATAGGATTATGAAAGACCCTGCGGATGCAATGGCTGAACCCATAGCCATACTGTTTGATATATCTCTGCAGCAGCCCAGATTGCCAAGAGACTGAAAATACGCAATAATCAGGCCAGTGTAAAAGGTGGAGAGCAGATATTTAATTGGTAACTATCTACCCGTTACTCTAATCAATGTTGTCAAATTAATGGAAAAGATTATTTGGATGTCTATCTTAAACTCTGTGGAAGGGCAAAATCATTTATTTAGGGAACAACATGGTTTTAGGAAAAGCCTATCACTCTTGGCAAATCTGATAATTGCCAGAGAAGATTGGGCTGCAGCAAAAGATCGAAATATTTCTGCAGATGGGTCTTAAATCAGAGCTGAAAAGTTATGAAATCCTTTATGAAACAATAGGCTGGATAAGTGACTTTCTCAGTGATAGAAGACAGCGGGTAAGGAAATATGGAGCTCTCTCAATGTAGGAACCAGTTAAAAGTGGGGTTCCTCAAAATACAGTCCTTGGTCTTATATTTATACTCTAGAGAACGAATATCCAATTATGGCAAAGTCATTCGTTCTATCTTTGTCGATGACATGAAAATTTGGAGACCCATACACAGTATGTCAGACAGAGTATAACTACAGGATGATCTCAATTCATTGGTTGCATGGATGGGCAGGTGGTCATTGGAAGTAAATCCTAACAACAGTGTGGTAATGAAATTAACTAACTGCGACGACTCATATCACTGCACAATATGTGGAACTGTGTCGCCCAAAGCAGTAGACCATCAAGACCTAGTAGTCATATTGTGCAACGACCACGAAACTACGGGTAACTGTAATGCAGCCACCGCCAAAGGCTTCAAGATCTTAATGGCTATTCGCAAGTCATTTCATTACTTGGACAAAGAAACTTTTCAGATATTATATCTGACTTTTATGAGGCCTTGTTTGGAATGTGAGATTCAAGCAGCGAACCCTTGTTTCAAGTATGAGACGTATATGACAGAACGAGTTTAGAGGCAGGGGGGAATGATAAATGGTCACTCTAGTCTATCTTATGAAGACAGACTGTGACACCTCAAAATATTTCTCCCACCTTAACGCACGATATGGGGTGATCTAGTCCTGGTCTACTTTACAATGAACAATAATTTCAGCAACAATATGTGTTATCTTTTCCTTCCATATAAGATTGATCATCTGAGAGGAAATTCTAGGAAAGTTTGAAAACCGAGATAAATTCACTCGCGTCTGAAGTTCTGCTTCTCGCACCAAAGAGTGGATTATCATGATTTTGTAATAAAACACATAATATCAGCACTTTTCGATAAATTAAAAGAGACTAGATCACTACAACATTACAAATTGCAGGGATTATTATAGGTCGGTTGAACTAACCTTCAGTGAAGACTGAAAACCTATGAAGCGATTTCCGAATCCTGTCTAAATGAGAAACTTTCGACCGAGTGACCAGTCAAAAAGTAACTTCCAGGTCTACAGAAGCCGTATTGAGACTAGCTGATGTGATAGTACTGCCATTATCCATAGGTAAGCAACACTAAAACAAAAAGAAAATCCTAATTTGGTTCAAAATGTAAAGCAGCAAACAGTAGTCTGAGTTAGTCATTATTAAGAGTGATTTACAAATTATCTGGTGCTTACAAATGTGCATATACCACGAAGTTTAGTTAGAATATGGTCTAGCGGGTTACCTAAAAATTGAAACTAGAAAGTTTTGGAATTCATTATGCAGTCATAGACTGGCTAAGTGACTTTCTTCATGAAAGGAGACAACGGGTAAGAGTAAATGGGGCTCTCTCATCGTGGGAACCAGTAAAAAGTGGCGTCCCCCAAGGCACGATTTTAGGTCCTCTTCTCTTTTTACTTTATATAAATGAATTACCAGCTATAGCTAAGTCATCCGTCCTACTATTCGCCGATGACATTAAGATTTGGAGACCCATATATAGTATGTCAGACAGAATAGTTTTACAGGAAGATCTTAACTCACTAGTTGCATGGATGAATGGGTGGTCACTAGAAGTAAACCCTAATAAAAGTGTCGCGATGCAATTAAATAACTACGATGATTCGTATCACTACACATTATGTGGACTAATGTTGCCCAAAGTAAGAAACTATAAAGATTTAGGAGTCATACTAAGTAATGATCTCAAAACAAGCAGTCACTGTAAGGCTGCTGCTGCAAAAGGCTATAGGGCATTATGGTCTATTCGTAGATCTTTCCGGTATCTGGATGGAGAAATGTTTAGATTATTATACCCAACTTTCGTACGGCCACATTCGGAATATGGGATTCAAGCAGCGAGTCCTTGTTTCAAATATGAGGCGGATATGTTGGAACGAGTCCAACGCCGCGGTACAAAAATGGTAAAAGGCTTATCTAGCCTATCTTATGAAGACAGACTGAGACACCTCAACTTATTTTCGTTATCTTACCGGCGAATACGGGGTGATCTAATATTGGCATATCGTATCCTGAACGACGACCTTGGTACTAACGTGTCCTATCTTTTCCTCCCGTCTAGGGCTGAGCATTTGAGAGGACATTCAAAGAAAGTCCAAAAACCGAGATCAAATCGTCTACGTCTGGAGTTTCGTTTCTCGCACCGAGTAGTGAATTACTGGAATTCTCTACCAGAACACGTAATATCAGCACCTTCTGTTGATATATTCAAGACGAGATTGGACCTCCACAGTGTAACAAACTGCAAGGATTAAAATAGGTCACTAGACCTTCTATCCTTATTACTGAAGACTGAAGACTGAAGACCTAGTGTCGTTCAAGCGCAAAATACCCGCCTTTTACTTCGGCCGGTCAAGGCCGCGGTAGGCTTATCCTTTAAACCAACCTGTTCATTAAGCAGCTGGCCTTCACAGCTGCTTGTTTTGATATCTTATCTGTTAAAATATTTGTGAGGTTCTCTTCAAACTGTTCCGAGCTTCGTTTCGAAGGACAGTGTGGAGTTATTTAGTTGCCAAATTTTTCTAGTTGAAACACAGTTGACCTGAGGTGTTCACAGCTGACAATCACTAACCATATCGCGTCTGCCAAGACAGTATCTGACATACCATGTAAACGCTACAGAGTTTAATAAACTTTCTCATTCCTAAAGGAGTCATCTAGAGTGTAAGTATCATCCATATGCAGTTCTTATTGAAGATTCTCATGCTGGGGATATGGTTTGCTCGATGTGTGGATTGGTTGTTGCTGATAGGTATGTTTTATCACGGTAAAAATAGTTTCTCCATGCGCTTCGTGCAGAGTGATTGACGTTGGGTCTGAATGGCGCACGTTTTCTAATGATGCCAACGCCAAAGATATGTGTCGAGTAGGAGCTACTGAAAACTTCTTGCTAGATGGGGGTGATCTCTCAACTATGATCAGTGGTCCATCACCTTCTGACTCGCGACAACTTGATGAGCACGGGAAGCCAATGTACCGGAACCGTCGCAATATCTCTGCACCTGATAGGGTACTTTTGAGTGCGTTCAGAGAAATCAGTCAAATGGGTGAACATCTAAATCTCCCCAAAAGCATATCTGTAAGTTTCGTTCCTAGTTTCGCAAAAAGCCTGCATTGTTTTCTATGTATACTTGGAACCCATGTGAAACTGTTATTTAGCATAATTATTTTGTAGGTTAATACGAAGTCTTAGACATTTGTATTCAGGCCGTCTACACATACACAACTGTGATGGTAACATCATTTTTGTATGCGAGAATTTCTGACACTGGTCTAGACATTGTGACTAGTAATTGTGAAATTTCCCTCAAAAACATCCACTTATCGATCAGCAAAATACACCGACCTCATTTCATGCAGTCGTATATCAAGGATTCCTCGTTGCTGATGTCTGACATGTTCATTGGACTGTACGCGAAACTTTTAATCAAGGGAATGTAGTCGAATCCTACTATGTGGTTAAAATGTATGCTTATAACGTGCCATAAAACCCTAAAGTAAATCCAATCCATTTAATAGTTCATAAAATGCGGTTCGTGGAGTTTTATTCGTTAGACATGCACTTGGAAAAACACCTATGTACAGGATAAAAACTGCCTTGCTGGTGGAAAAAATATACATGTAACAAGTAAATTGTATATGCTCACGTCGTGTAGCATAACCATCCTTCATGTTGTATTATTAATGTACAATGTGTCTGTAAATACTATTCGTGGCATCAGATAACTGTTTTCACTTGGATGAACTGACTCATCATAAATACGTAGTACTTGAAACCTAGAAAACCAGCTTAGCTTTACTTTTTAAAGCGAGTGAGTTAACAGACATGCCTATAAGTGTTGTCAGTGATTTTCTAACAACTAAATGTTAACTTATGTCAGTTATCTGTCAGCATAAATTCCTTAGCGAAAAGATCAAAAAAACACTATCCATCAAGTTGTTTGGTTAACATCTGGGTTTTTTTGTACAGTTAAAAAGAAATACTTATCTTAGAAGTTTCGTTACCCCCCATTTTGTTTGTGGCTGAATAAATCTCAGTACGGATTCTGAAAGCTTGATTGTCTTTTACATCACTTATGCAAATGAGATATCCGCCTACCAACCTAAGGCCATGTATCATACAACAGTCCTTTTTACTTAATGACTAAAACGTGCCCTCTTAGATTAGAGTACGTTCGTGGGTTACTAGCATTTGACCACGGATGCCTTCAAAGTATTGCTCCCATGTAGTGCAACAACTAAGTAAACAACGCTGTAGTCAGATGTCGGGTGCTGAGTGAATATTGCTAGTTACTTGGTGATGTAAACATTCATCATCTTGGAAAGTCACGAAATGTGATACACATTACAATTTATCACCTTCCATCTTGTTGTGCTTATGTGGTGGGACAATTTCTGATGGTAAAAAATTTCGTCAAATTTTATGTTGGTCATAACTTTCTGACGGGGTAAAAATTTTTGGCGATTAACTGCAGTTATTGTGGTGTTGTAAGTATTTAAATCACTATGAAAAAACAGACCGCTAAATCTTACTAATGACTAGGTAAGTTATCGTAATGTCATATTACCGTACCAGTCACTGTATATTAATTATAGGATTGATCCTGACTATATCCCTCACTTCCCCTCTAATCCAGGTCAGTCAGTCAGCTACAACGTAGGACCAGGCACATTTATGCATCGGTCCAAGTTGCCATACCTCGTTAGCACAACAAGATGAACACCGGATTCATAGAAGTAATTAATGTAGTGGTGGTAGTAGTATATAAATTATAGGTTGTATATAAGGATATAGTATAGGAAGGAAGAAAGATATGAAGCAATTTTAGTCTCAAGGTTTAAAAGAAGATAAAAAGTGTATACACCTACTCCATTGTGATCGATTCTGAGCCATGTCACCTAGAGTCTCCAACCATTGGTTACGATAGTCACGCTGACCCCAACCAGGTAGTCTGCATCTGTCAACATGGCTCAGACTAGAAGTTAGTGACTTCAAACACTGATGCCATGTTTTGGTTTGGCCGCCCCTAACTCTCTTCCAACAATCCCCTACACTAGTCATCATAGCGCGTCGTGGTAATCGGTGTTCAGGCATACGTAACACATGGCCCAACCATCTCAGTCGATGAAGATTCATCACCTCATCAACTGATTTACCATCGTTCCCTAATACCCTGCGTCTAACCTCACTATTACTTACCCGGTGATCCCAGCAGATGCGAGCAATATTTCTAAGGCATCTGTGGTCAAATACTAGTAACCTACGAGTATCTTCTACTCTTAATGGCCATGTTTCACAGCCGTAAAGTAGAACAGAGCGAACTGATGCGCAGTATACTCGTCCTTTAATTGATAGACGGATATCTCGTCTTCGCCATAGGTGACGTAAGTTGGCAAAAGCCAAACGAGCTTTTCGAATCCGCGCTGAGATTTTGTCAGACACCAACCATTAGGGCTGATCAGACTTCCAAGATAAGTGAAGTTGTCAACGCGTTCGACTACTTCACTCTCTATCCTTAGTTCAGGTGTTGACGTAGGCCAGTCCTGGAGTAACAATTTACATTTGGATGGGGAGAAACGCATCCAAAACATCCTGGCATTATTACTGAGTTCCAACAGAAGACTCTGCATTTTGCCAGCGTCTTCACCAAACAGGACTATGTCATCTGCGTATTCTAAGTCGATTAGTGGTCCCCCTGGTAGGAGATCAATTCCTGTAAATTCAGTCGAAGAGAGTGTTATTTCCAGCAACAGGTCTATAATGAAGTTAAATAAAAATGGGGATAGTGGACAGCCTTGTCGGACACCACTTGAGGTTGTAAAATCATATGACAGTTCGCCATAAGCTCTCACTCGACTGGTAGTGTTCGAGTAAAGAGCCTTCACAAGGTTTATGTACTTCTCAGGTACACCTTTCAATGACAGACACTGCCACAGAACCTCTCGGTCTACAGAGTCAAATGCTGCTTTCAAGTCAAGAAAAACTATCATTGTCGGACGCCGATAAGCGTGTCTGTGCTCTAAGACTTGACGAATGGTGAATATGTGGTCGATACAGCCACGACCAGGTCTGAAGCCAGCCTGATTTTCTCGTGTTTGCAGTTCACGAGTCTTAGTTAGGCGCCCGATAATTATTGAGGCTAGTATTTTAGATGCTATGTTGGTCAGACTAATCCCTCTATGGTTATCGCAGGATGATTTTGACCCCTTTTTATATATTGGGACAATCAGTGATTGTGACCAGTCGGATGGGATTACATCCGTCTCCCAGATTTTAGCCAGAATATTAGTCAACCTAATCGCTAAAATTGGACCACCGTATTTAAAAACCTCTGGAACCAATCCATCAGGACCAGCTGCTCTTCCTCGTTTCAGATTACCTATAGCCTTTTGAACATCAAGTAGGGTCGGGGGGCCTACTTCAATGTTCCATTCAGGTTTTCTGGGAATAGTGGGTAGTTGTGCAGTAGCTGAAGGCCAGCTAAACTGCTCCTTAAAGTGTTCCGCCCATCGTTCTAAACGTTTAGGTTGAGAGCAGATAAGGGTTCCGTCTTTTTCGGAGATTGTCTCACTTACACTTGACTTCTTAATTCCGGTTTCTTTTATTAGTCTGAATAGTTGCCTGGTGTTGCCTACAGCCGCTGCCTTTTCCATCTCTTTTGCTTTCGTTGCCCACCACTGCTCACGATCATTCTTTAGACTTTTAGTTAACCTATATCTAATTTCTTTACGCTCTTCGTCATGTTCAGAGCCTGATGGGATGAGTTTACGCGAATCCATCAGTGAAATAGACTTAGAGGAAATCCACTGGTTTTTTGGAGCCCTATAGTTTAAATGACTAATAGATGTTACTGCTGTTTCCACAGCTGTTCGTATGTCTTTCCAAGCAGTATCTGTGTCAGTCTTGTTTACAGAACTGCCTAGATGTGAACTTAGTTGTTTCTGGAATTCGCATTTGGCTTTCTCGTCCTCCAGTTCAATCCTAATGGGTCTTCTTAGTGTACTTTTCCTGCGTCCATTGAGGCGCAGACAAATGCGCGCTCGTATTAAAGCGTGATCAGAGTCTAAACAAGTATTCCAATACGAGCGACAATCTTCTATTGAGCCTCTCCAACGATGACTGATGACAATATGGTCTATTTGAGTCCATCGTTGGTTTGGTGCAGGTGGTCGCCATGTTAGACGATGTCTCTCCTTATGTTTAAAATTAGTGCTTGCTAAAAATAAACGATTGTCTGAGCATAGTTGCAACAAACGATCACCATTATCGGTTCGTTGAGCCGGAATACTAAAACACCCACCTAAATGTCTTTCTGTTTGATTTAAGCTGCCCACCTGGGCATTAAAGTCACCCTCTACGACTACTATGTCTGAGCGCTTAGCTTTCTGAAGAAGCTCAGAGAGCTTTCTGTAAAAGTCATCTTTCACTTCATCATGGTTGCAGTCGGTGGGAGCGTAGGCAGAAACGACGAAAAGGCAACGACGTGTGTCCCTATCCTTCCGAGTTCTTATGGAGCCATTCAGCCGGACAGCACACAGGCGACTGTTAACGGGGATCCATTCTAATAGTGCCTGTTCTGCCCTTGTACTTAGTGCTATGCCTACACCTGCAAGTCCGCGAGAACTAGCCAACGGGTCGCCAGATACACGGAGGGTGTATTTCGTTGGTTGTCCATTTTGGCGAGGTGAGGTCAAGTGAATGACCACACTGGGATCCTGTATGCGTGTTTCGGAGACACAGCATACATCAATGGTACGAGATTCTAGGGTTTTAGCTAAGGAGGCCTGTTGACCGATTTGGCATAGGGTACGTACGTTGAAGGCTCCAATGTGTAGTTTGGAGCGAGGTTTAAGTAGACCTGGGACAGCGTTTCGCGCACTAGAATCGTTGGCCATGGTGACACTTGAGGAGGAAACCGGAACAGGAAGTTTAGTGTTGAAAGTCAAGGTAGAAGGAATAGTAGGAATTGAAGGAGATTGATTATGAATACGGTGGTCTTGAGTGCTGTTAGGTGTATGAGGGCAGTTATCACTTCCCGGTTGCCCACACCGTGGAAGGGTTCTCCTGGGGGTACCTGAAAAGGAAATTGGGTTAGAAGTGGTCTTAATGACCTGAGAGCGTGACCGCAGTGCCCAAGGGACAACTGCTTGAGGTCGGTCACACACGACCTTTTTGTGGGTAGTTTTTGTGTTAGCTCCGTTCTTCAAAAAAACCTTACCGCCGGAGACGGATATCCGTGGGATAAGGCGAGGTGTGCATTTTTAGGGCCGACCTTTTCTAACCCCACCCCTCCTTGTGGGAAGGCAGCATCGCTGTCATGCTGGTTGTCTGAAGGAAACACCTTACTGCCGTCACACCTCTGTACAGTCAGCAGTACGACTTCGCCTTCGGACCTTGGGTTTGCTGCTTTTAGTCTCACCGCTCTTCAACCGACCTGTCTGGCATGGTAGGACCTCGAGGAACGACTGTTGCAGCCAGCATAGCTCGATTGCTTCATCACGATAGGCAAGCCCGACCACCACGTCAAGGTAGCAGCAACGGTCGGGCTCTAATCCAGGTCTTCCTACTAACTGTCCGTATGAATCAGTCAGGATCAGTATGCATGAAAAAAATTGGCATTCAAAAGTGCCCGTGCTTAATTTCAAGATTATATTTTCAAATGGGTGCTAAAAATGACTGAATTGACAATTACTAAAGTTTATTTCCAACCAACACTCTAATGTTCAGTTTTTATTTACATCGATAAGTATTTCAGCAAAACCCAAGAAGCAGTGATCAAGCAACCCATTCTGAGTAACACGAACACGGTAGTCGAAAATAATTTTATCAAAATTGTATGGATTCCTAATAATTCCATTTTATAAAAAGATAAGTCTCTTTGTTACTCATTAAAGAAAAACCAATCTTCGTTAACTACCTCTAGAAATCCGCGATGTAGGCTGTGGATAGAAATCTCCTTCGATAGGTTAGGTATGTATGCATCAAATGAAAAGCGGATGTGTGTATTCCAGAAATTGCCGTGATCACTAATTTAAATCGAAATATTACTTTTAGCCTGCAGTATTAAAAATAAGTATTGTAATAGGAAAATAGCTAATCAAACAGCGACAACTTTATGTTGAGAATGTTATGGTGCTTGGAATAGTAATTGAATTTCAACAACTTAGAGTTTTGCAAAATCGATAATCAGATGTTAATGTAATTTCGTCTTAAGAACTCAGTTTTAAACAAGCTTTATCTAATTGTGTTGGAAGCAGTCAAAGTTTCTTTTTCCCTACATATCATCTTTTTGAAATATTGCAGGACCATGCTAACTTGCTGTTCAAACAAGTCCATGAGACTAAAAATCTTCGAGGTCGCAGTAATGATGCTGTCTCAACTGCTTGTCTCTACATGGCCTGCCGTCAAGAGGGTGTCCCTCGGACTTTCAAAGGTGACAGTGTAATAAGTTTTCAACCGGATATTTATTTTATGGTATAAGACTTAATATCACTAAGTGTTAAACACACAACATGGAGATGTAGTGAAATGATTTCACTCAGTGCATTTTTCTACTGTTTTTTTATGCTAAATACATATCTCACATGAATTGTGTGAAATATTACTACACATTGTATGTTAATAAGCAAATGAGAAGCATCAGCGTTGCTTTTAATGTTTATGTGTTAAAGTCTATTTAAAGTTCCAAAAAGTTAACTAACACTTATAAAACTATAAGTTCAAATGTAAATCTCTTTTTGCATTACTAAATTATCAAGCATATCAACCATTTATATTTATCTACGGATGTTTTCGGAGGCTGTTTGTTCTCATGCATGGGGATGTTTTCTTGTATGATCAATATAAACTATATGTTACTGAGTTATTTTTATTCTTAGTCTTTTTGATGAATATCAATGAACACAAATCATAGTTTAAAACTATTAATTGCCATCAATCATCACGAAGTTATCAAAGTTGTTCGCAATGGCGCATGTACATTCACTGTTTTTTCCCTCGGATCCTAAGTTACCTAATCTTTTAAAAAAAGATTTATTCTACGAATCCATTTATCGGATTATATCTTTTGTATCTATTGTTTTCTGTTATCGCTAATGTTATTACTACTTATACTACTCTGCTATCGCTGTGCTGACGTGGTGTGGTAACTTGAACCCACCCATGTATGTACTAGGTTCCATGGTATGTAAGACTGACTGACTGATTATCATTAAAAAAAAATTGCAATGTATTTTGTAATATCTCACGACTTACTGTTAATTGCCTCGGATAATAAACAATTTCTCCAACCAAACATAAACGCACACAGTACGTCAAATAAGTTAAATGTCTATTACATACAAAGAAATCTGGTCATAATAATGTTATGTAATTCAGGTCGGGAAAATTTCTGTGTGATATGTTATTTGTGCATGTGTAAGTGTGATTAATATAATGCTCGTACTGTGAATAAATTAGTTTTTTAATTTGAGAATAAGAGTTAAAATATACTTTTAATTTTCCAGATTTTAATGCCATTGAATTGTGCCGTTTTAGTTACATAAATTAAAGCATGATAATAGTTGATTCTTCTGAAAAGGAAGTAAATAAATGTGTATAGGATTACTCAACGGCAAGTAGCTTACTTTTATTAAAGCTTGTTTCGTACTAGAACTATCTTCAGAAATACAAACAAGCAGATGAAAAAATATACAACACAAATATTTATTTACGAAGTACCAAATTTGGCATACTCTTGCTCATTATACCACAAAGAGATACAGGATGCAGATTTTTCACCAGACATTTTTAAGGAATTGGGAAGTCCCAGCATTACTAATCTTCATTTGATACTCCACTTCACAATTATTCAATATCATATGTATTCGACCATAGTTGTCTTTGAAGAATTTCTGAGGTCCTTTTGGGACACTGCATCAGTAGTACCCAGGTTCAGCCATGTGTAATCGGGCCCAATGACGATAATTCAATTAGTGTCATCTTGAAACACCGAGCTCGTAGGCTTGGTCATTTCTTACGAATACCCAGTGATCATACAACTCAGTTGCTTAAGGCGTTATAATATATAACTTAAGATCAAAATCAACCGAAGTCCTTTTGTAGTTATTCACTAAATTCTCAACAAAATTTAGGTGATCTTCCTTAACTGAAGAATGTCTTTATTGTCTACATTTTTAACTAGACTCTATCTCTTATTAACTACTTTCTATTTACTTCGTTTATTCCACTGCCTTTATCTTCTTCCTTCACAATATTACCACTTCCTTTGTGCTGTGCTTTCCCTTTGGTGACCTATTGTATTAGAACCCGTATACTGTAACTAAATAAATTGATTTTTAATGCACCTGTTATGTAAATACTAGTAAACGGACATCAGTATTATCCTGCTAAGACAAGTATTAAGTCATGTACTTTAGTTTTAGAAGTAGAAGTCGGAATAGAGCAGTTTATCAAAAAAAAGACGAATTAGTTGGGCCTACGTGATGTTTAAATATTAGAGACTAATTATTTCAGCTTCCCGTTTCTAATCAATTATTATCTTCATTTTGAAATCGTAGTTTTATTGATGTGTGAATTCAAACTTTTATTTCTTATTGTTTTATCGATATCTCTTGCTACTTATAATTGAAATACGAGGAACCATTACAGTTCCGAGGAAGTAAGAACACCAAGACTGATACAAGTAAAAATTTATTCATCCCAAAACGTGACGACAATTCTAATTAAAAATGCACTCATTTATATATCTATTTATACGCATATTTAATCATTACTTAGTAAAAAGTCAGGTATATGAAATTATAACAAAATCGGACATTTCATGTCATGCTGAACGTAGTTCATATTAATTTCATACAAGAATATCGTGTCTTGAATAAACATCAAACTGAAGTAAATCATTGTTATAATAAATAAAATAGCACACTAAAAAATGAAAGTAATATTAAACAAGAATTACGATGATTTAGCAATGTAATTTTGCATTTTCATCCCGTCATATTAATTATTATGACTCGTTTATTAATAAAAATTATTCACATTTTTCTATTCTTTTAGAAGTATGTGCTGTGTCACGAGTTTCAAAGAAGGAAATAGGAAAAGTTTTTAAAAAAATTCTAAAAATACTTGAAACAAATGTACAATCAGTTACAGTTGAAGACTTCATGTCTAGATTCTGTGGTAATCTCAATTTGAATATTGCTGTTCAAAGAGTTGCAAATGTGGTTGCTAGAAGAGCTCTTAACTTAAATTTAGTTGCCGGTCGCAGCCCAGTTTCGGTGGCAGCCGCAGCCATTTACATGGCAGCTTATGCATTAGGTTATCGTAAAGAAAAACGAGGTAATTATCACTGTTTTCTTCATTTACTGTTAGTACAGTTTTTTCAGAATTATCATACTTATTTGTGAAAAATTGTATTTGAAATAATTTCAGCTATTGAAATTTAAACAATTTTAACATTTCGTTTAGCAAACTTGTCTGAACTTCTTCAAGAGGTATTCAACTATCCAATCCTTAGTAAATGGTTATCAACAAGTATTTGGACCATATGTATATCCAATCTGTCTGTTTCATATACACAGTTATTCTGATAGAAATTAGTTTGCATATTTTATCATTACAATTATGTATTTGATGATTCTCATTTTACATACATATTGAAAATATTTTCAATTTTCACTTTTGTTCTTATAAACAAAATGAAAATTAACACTTAATATCAACTATTAATAACATGAACTTACACATATACAGATATATACATAAAACCACTCATTTGTGAACTTTTCACATGATTCACATCTTACTGATTCATGTTTATCCTACTTACTAAAGTCAACATCTGAACATGATTGGATAAGCATTTAACGTAGATTTGACTTGATTATTGAATATTAAATATTTTTTGATAATTTAAATCTTGACTATTACGTTGAAGAAGTTCAGACAAGTTTACTGGGCGGAACCTCGGATTTATTTAAATTTCAATCTTAAAGATTATTTCAAACAATTTTCACAAATAATGTCTTATATACTTGGAGTCCGATTCCTGTCAAACTATTCGTTCAAATATTGACGAATATTAGTATACTAAGCTAATATTTCTAGATTTTAAAAAGAAGTTAAAATGTTTATGTATTTATACAGAGTTGAATTAACACATTTTATTTTCGCTAACAAAACAAAGAATATGTGATTGTTTTCAATGTCTACTCTCATGTTCTGTAAAATAATCCGAGTGATAGAAACCGATATGCTATAGGATTACGTCTTGGTAAAAATATTACAGGTATATATAATCAATACATCCTTAAATCATTAATTCGATAACTGTTTCGGTTTACGATTAATCGTTTTGTCGTGAACATAGTTCAATTTTCGCCAGCAGCGTTCACGAAAATTATATGTTCATAGATTTACATTAGAAAAATACGAACTGACTGGTACGCTATAAATGCAATCAGTAGTAAGTGTTACTCATTTAAGTGAAGATAGCAAACATAATTATTGAGTTGAAATAGTGGCCCCCAAATGCCCTGGTATGATGGAGACTCAGCTCTCTCTCTCTCTCACATGGCCACGTGCATACAATTACTGACAGGGATGTCCTACTCACTGCCTTCTCGTGGTGGGGGTGTTGAGAGGGCGAAAGTCAAGCGCTTTAACCGAGTTAGTGGGCACATAGGGTCCAACTAGGGGAGTTGGAAAACCCTGATTCCAATCCAATGGTGCACATGGACTCCGAAATCCTGAAGGAACAAATGGCATATGAACCAATTACTGGTCACCGGCTACCGTGGGATTGCATCTCCTAACGTTGCTCCACTGTCTTATGGATCAGACTATTAGGTCGAAGGCTCCGGGTGTGGCTCCCTAAGAAAATCACCTGCTTCGGTCTGGGCACCCGGGAAGTATCACAGCCTACATACTTGTGTGGTGCATATATATTTGGTGCCCCTTCATACCAATATTTGTGTCCAAATCAATAAATAAAAGGGTTTTGATCGCCAATCAAGGTCTATAAAATAAGATGTCTTGTACTAAATACATATATGGTAGTTCTCATTTGTAAACGAATAAATGTTCATTAAAATCTGGTGCTTGGAATCCAACTGTCATTTAACTTAGCATTGTAACGAGTAATCGTTCAGCACATCTTTTTTATATTTGAAAACAGCGATTACCAGTTACAATAGCTTAGGCTTGGCAAAAGTAGACAAAATGACACAAATATTGACCACTTTATGTTATCGACGATACTCTCAGGTTGCAGCATAGATAAGAATTCTCAAAACATGTACCCGAACGTTATATTAAATTCTGATATACCTGAAGCGTTACGAATTCACTAGTAGCGAACGAAACAAAGACACGTGACCAGAGACCGATAACTAGCTGTACTGACGCGACCCAGACCAAGCTAACTAGAGTAAGAAGTCCAAGTTGGAGCGGGGAAGTTATATTCCGTAGCAGCCAGAAGCACAGCAATCAAATAAGGGAAAAAGTCAAGCGTATCTATACAGCAACAAAATGTCCTTGGGCATCGTTAATAATTAGCACACACAAAGAAACAATGGACCAATAGGGTTTAAGATAGTTACAAGTGGGAAATATGATGTGAAGGTAATAAGAGCACGTTTTGGCGCGAAAACAGCTAAATTCAAATTTCCAAAACTAAGCCATTTACCAAGTAAGTTATGGGGATTTGACATCCCCAACAAATTCAATTATTATCTGTTAGTAAACAATGTGATAATTTTCTTTGTAGAAATCGGTGATGTGGCGGGATGTGCTGAGGCTACTATCACATGTACTTATCGTGCAATGCACTCAAGAGCCAGTGAACTATTTCCTGAAGATATCAGACTTGCCATAAGACCAGATGAATTACCACTATAATTTCACTTACTTTTCTTGTTTAAAGAAAATTTATTTCCTTTCAAAGTTGATCAGTTTCTGTACAAAGTTATGATACTGTAAATGCAAAATACCAAAGTTAGTCGTTGGTTATTTGAGACTTAGAATATTGTGTGTAACAGATGGTATGTTTATCATAAATACTGTTTTGACTGAAAAAGGTTCCTGTACCAGGTTTGGAAGTTGTGTTACTGGGGTTTGTATCAGTCATTATGATCTGTATCCTGCGAGAAAGATGTTAGCTTTTCTAATAAGGATGCATGCCATTCGGGTGATTATGCTAAACAGTTGCTCTGAGTTTAACAGAGATTGTATCGACTTGGTCAGTTTGTTACCACTTTAACTCCAACAGTAAAACAACATGATACAATTCTGGTCGTTGTTTTATATTTTCCTGATAACTACCTAATGCAGGTATACGGTAATATATAAGTTCAAATGTGATTGTCACACAACAAACTTGAGACCGAATCCGGTAGGTCACACGCAATTAAACGTCACCCATACTGTTAAGTCCGATTGCAATTAACTTCACTACATAGGATATCTTTTGGTTTTCCAGTGATGGATAAATTGACATCAATCTACTTAAGGAAGTGCATTATGCTGAAGTTGTTCAGAGGCTTGAAGACAAGTAAAATATTTCTGTAGTGGTATCGATTGTTATATGTGAACTAGGGAATTCCTAGGTCTAACCAGTACATACTTCAATAATCACAACTAGAGCAGAACAATGTGTACACTTGGATGTATTGCATTAGATTTTGAATAGCGCGGCTGGATGTTTACGAAACACTAAAATAAATCAACTAGGAATATATTAACCTGGTTGAATCAACAAGTCAATGATTGTATGGTCTACCAAAAATTCGAAATGAATGATGTTAGTCTAGCGAATAAAATGAGCTATCGTTTGCGAACAATTCCACCTAGAAACTGTAACAACTAAATCACTTCTTAGCCAAACGGACAGTATCCTTATGAAATGGTTCTTGCTTATGTAAGTCATCATCGACAACATGGCCTGTTACATGAAACCTATTCCTAACTAATAAGAGTTGACAAAGTGATACATCCTACTGTCTAAAACTATATACTTTAACACAACTCGCTGGATGAAACATCAGTCTCCAACATGTCCACGATGGTCCGTAAATTTAGTAAGCTGATATTTTTGTACATACTGATCGCGAAACTGAACGTGAACAAGTTTCGCCCCTCAATTTATTATGAGAAAAACATGACGTGAACAAAGAATATTTTCTTTTTCAACACCACGACATGCCTAGGCTCTTCGAAAATTATCAAGAGAATTGTTTGTAATGAACCATTATAAGTTTGAAAAGAACACAGCTTATACGAGAAATAAGACAAATGTATTTTTGAATGACAAAACGTTGCGACATGGACAAAGAATGAGAATGTAGCAATTCTTGCTGAATGTGAAAATCGCAGCATAATAGTTAGTGAAAGATAAACAACTTCATAGCAATCGCTATTTAGACTTTTCAAAGGATGATAATAATTTGGTTATTTCTTAAATAAGAATAAAGTAAAAAGCAGACTGAATCAAACAGTACAATAATTAACTTAAGGAGAACATGAGCACATACACTAAACAAGTAGAAATCCGAAAAGTTCATACATCTAAAATCCAGTCTTGTTTTATTATGTGATTTGTATTTCTATCAAACTTATCAATAAGAAGTATTTTTTAAACTTTCTTTTTATAAAACAATTGGAAAATGAAGAAATCGAGGAAAGAAAAAAAAACTTAATATATATTTCTTTTATTGATTACACTTTAAAACATCTTGTCTGTTCAACTGATCAAAACTGCATCTCAACATACTTGCACACATGCTATGCCCATAGAATGCTGTGCAACACACACAAGGATGATTCGTTGAATATCGAACAATCCATTATTTCTCCCATTTCAAATTGTCCCATTTTTTGAAACAGATGATCCATGATTAATAAGTCTTTCTAACAGGATACGCTCATTAATTGGCACATCGTTTTTGACTGTCAAGAAAACAGAGTAAATAAAGACAAATATTTAACAACAAATTTGTATGTATGATCGTTAATTTTTACGTGAATCACTGAACTAATGTTTACTAGCAATCTTATATAAGAGATAGAGAGTTAATTTTGAGCAGAATAAAGTGAGCTCAAAAAATTTTGTTCTTGCTCTTGTTAATTTAAAATAATGCTAGAGTAAACTAAACATTGTCTTATTTAACCGTTCTAAAGACACATCTCTGCATCTGGAGTCACATTTACAACCACGTTCGATTAACAAACACATATCAACAGATGATAATATCCCAAAAGCTATAAACCTTTTCTTTCAAGTTAGTCATAAAACAGTTTTCAGAATACCTTAATTTTCAGAAACTTGAAACACTAACGTACTTATTGGTTTAGGATGCCTCAAATTATTTGTTCATTACTCTTACTAATACATAGTTATTTAAATTAACAAGAACATCTCGGTAACATTGCGGAATCATATTTCACCCATAATTTGCTATATTCTTCAAATCAGCCAATCATAACGTACAATACGATAGAGATTTTTCATGGCCCAAGTTGACATCAAAGACCAACACTAAGATGAAACTAAGAAGATGGATAGCAAAGAAGTCGAAATAGTATAATTATCTCTTTTGCCTAGCCTCAACATCACCGTTTTCAAGCACGACAATGTCATTTGCATATTCTAAATGATATGTCCCAAGGCCATATCTGTTACTATGGAGACATGGTTTATTGTGTCACTATTCCGACCTTCAATTCCGCTCTCTTATCTGGACGTTGGGGTATATTGCACATTGTGTTGCCAAGCAGTGGAAGCAACAATAAAATATCTCATTAAAATCATCAACAGCTAGTAGGTCCAGTTACCTTTTATACAAGCTTAGTAATACTGTTTACAAAGAGTGTGTGAAATCCTGCGGTTCATTGTTTACTGAGAATGCAACAGTAGACAAGCTAATTAACTAATTTCCTAAGCATAATATATATCTAGTTATTTGTGTATACTACTTAATATAATTGCTAGTAGTTCAATTCACTTTTAAGTGAATACGGTGCTTTTATATTCCTACCACTGGATCAAATACGAGCGAGAAATCCCTATTTCTCAAAATAAAATGGGAGCCATCTAATCTTTCATGAGGGATGAGTTCAGAAATCCAGATAGATAACGATGAAAACTGGTTCACCAACGAACAAATATCTATCAGTAACCAAATTACATAGACAAACAAACTGCTTGATTCATTTAAAACAAATTTCAATAGTTGAAATTATGTTAACAAGTATTAAATCACTACAATAAAAATGTAATAATATTTCCGCAATAGTCTTAGAGTAACAATTCAAAGATAAAAGACTATCGTTATAAAATGGTGAGTATATTTATTTTCTCATGCAGAATGCAACGATGACATAGTGGTGGAAATTTAAGTTACCTGTGTGTTCCAAAAACTACATCAGCATCTGGTGCACCTTTTGGATGATTATACTTTACCCAGCGATCACGATTCACATTGATGGGGAATTGATGAGCCAAAACGGCATCTGGACCGCCGTAATGACCTAGTAATAAAAAAGTCAAATATTGTAAACTTTTATCAATAATACAACAGAACTCAAACTGTTATACAAGGGAATATGTTACAAAACGACTGTAACAATAAATGCATGGAATCTAGATTTGGATTTAAAAAAGAGCCATCTAAGCTACTACTGACTAACCCCATTCCATTTCTTCTTCTTTCTGAGCTTCATGCATTTCAAGCACCAGTTGTTTCATGCGAGCCCTTTCTTCTCTCTCGGCAGCTGCAGCTTGAATATAACGCGCTGCAAATTGTACTGAGTTAGGGACTGCCAATGGAATTAGATGAGGTTTATTTCCACGACGCGAAACTAGTGTAAAGGGAACAGTATTCTGAAATAGTAAAAAAAACAGTTATGAAATTGGCAAAAGCTTTAACAAGTGTAATGTTCAGCAGCAAAATCACATGTGAGGATGACGCGATAGGCTTAGAGAAACAAATCAAAGTACAACAGATTTGATAATAAACTTCTTGCCATAATACTGATTACATTAACGCACCAGAATAAGTATGGGTTATTCTGGCATCATTAATGTCAACTAGAAATTAATCAATTTACGGGAAACGTTCCATATTATAGGACTACAGAATTTCAAAACATGGATATTTCAATGTTAGCGTTTAAACATGTACACGAGAACTGGGACCGATGACAACTTATATATTAGGTATAAGACAGTCTTATTTGTTGAATAACTTACTAAAAGTGCCCCGAATACCAACTGGGTTAACGGTGCTGTTTCATCAGTAACATGCCGAGTAAAAGAACTAACACGGCACTTACACAAAATTACAGTGCCCAAATGAATAGGATAATAAGTAGTAGACGAAAGAACTCGTTAAAAATTTATTTATTTAAACACATAAATATTGGTACAAAGGGGCACCAGACGAAAGAGGTATAAATAACGAAAACATTTTACTGCGAACATTTCCTGTTTGAAATTAAGAGCTTGCAAACATAGCAAAACGAGACATCAATTCTGAAATACATACAAACACTCATGTATATTTTTAGCATGACACTATTTCAAGTGAGAATAGGATTTCAGCATTAAGATTTGAATGGATTTCGCCTTAACAATGTAGATAGTTTTTGATTTACAGCAGTTCTATATATGGGGACAGTAAATTTGAATGCTTATCAGGGTGGCAAATGTGCGTATACGTTTACAAGCCAGTAAATTAAGTTTGTGATCGGTTGATCAGTTCTCTCGTCCGAATATTAGCACCCGTCTATCATTAGCCGGCAATATTTCACCCTTCGTTTTGTTTCCAACTTAATGAGAATTAATTTAAAGTGTGTTACATCCGAACGAGGGATAAGTGAATGGTAATTGCTAGGAATTATTTACGGACAATTATTACATATATTCTTGTTGGATAATTATTAAGTAACTAGATTATATATATATATATACCGCAAGCTTTCATTTGACTATTGGCTACTGTTATACGATTTACCATCCCCGACTTATTCCCAATTTAGCAGTTACAATCTCTTGTACTCACGACAACTTTCGATTTGTGGTAATTATTTCTCATTTGATGATGTGATGTGGTTTGTATAAAAACCACGTGTCTGAAATATACGATTCATATGGTAGAGGCTGAAATTTGTGTTGAGGACTGAACGGGTTGGGCTAGGCGAGAAGCTGCTATACAGAGGACTGATGAGCATTCAGAGTTGACCCATGGCTACTAGTGCTGTTTGACATATCATTGGTTTAGCATATGGACAGTCACAGAAGTCGGTTTTCTGATTAGCCATCTTGTCACGTGATATTTGACGAGCTTTAAAACATAATGCAATGATCCTCGTTCGAAGTAGTGGACTTAACAGAGCTCATTTTAGACAACTTAAAATTGATCACAATAATATTACACTAAAATTATACTTCCTGACCACGTTAGTGTATCTCTTCATCTTAAAACTGCAGTCTTAACTGACTACATTTGCACACAACTCGGTCAATTATTGACGAAGTATTTCAGACATATGATTTTAGGTGATAAACTTACTTACGCCTGTTACCCCTCGTCGAGGAACATAGGCCACTCACCAGCATTCTCCATCCAACTCTGTCCTGAACCTTCCTTTCCAGTTCACATTCATCCTTTTCATATCTACTTTTATTTTCCGGCGTAGTGTGTTTTTGGCCTTCCTCTTTTCCACTTCCATCCCGGATCCCATGTTAGGGATTGCCTTGTAATGCACATTGGTGATTTCCTTAATGTATGTCCTATCCACTTCCAACGTCTTTTCCTAATTTCTTCTTCAGCTGTAAGCTGGTTTGTCCTCTCCCATAAAACGCTGTTGCTGATAGTATCCGGCCAGTGGATGTTGAGTATTTTGAGTAAACAACTGTTTATAAATACTTGTACCTTCCTGATGATGGCCGTAGTAGTTCTCCACGTTTCAGCTCCATACAGTAGGACTGTCTTGACGTTCGTATTAAAGATTCTGACCTTGAAATTAGTTGAGTTGTTTTGAGTTCCATATGTTCTTCAACTGTAGAAATGCTGCCCTTGCTTTACCAATCCTCCTTGTTTATCAACGATGCTCCCCAGGTACTTGAATGTTTCCACCTCTTCCAGAGTAGGTGTTCTCAATGTTGTATTTGAGAATCTTGCTTTTTCCTTTGTGAATGTTGAGGCCTATCGATGCGGAGGCTGCTGCTACATTTGCATTTGTTCGTGTGTATGATAGAGGAGGGCTAGGTCATCTGCGAAGTCCAAATCCTCTAATTGATTCTGAGAAGTCCATTGTATTCCGTATTTCCCTTCAGATGTTGAAGTCTTCATAATCTAGTCAATCACCAGAAGGAAGAAGAATGGGGAGAGTAGACAGCCTTGTCTGACTCCGGTCCTTACTGGAAATGCATCTGTCAGCTGTTCTCCATGCATGACTTTGCACTGTAGTCCATCGTATGAGTTTTGGATAATGTTGACAATCTTTTCAGGAACTCCATAGTGTCAAAGAAGTTTCCATAATGTTCTCCTATCCACGCTCTCAAACGCCTTCTCATAGTCAATGAAGTTGACGTATAGTGATAAGTTCCACTCAACTGATTGTTCAACGATGATCCGTAGTGTCACAATCTGGTCTGTGCATGACCTATCCTTACGGAATCCAGCCTGTTGATCCCTAAGTTCGGCGTCTACTGCGTCTTTCATCCGATTCAGCAGCACTCTGTTAAAAACTTTTCTTGGTACTGATAACAAACTGATGCCTCTGTAGTTCTCACATTTGCTCAGATCTCCTTTCTTTGGTATCTTGATGATATCCTTCTTTCCAGTCCATTGGCACTTGTTCCTCTTCCCAAATCTTCTTGAATAGAAGGTGAAGCATGTTTGCAGTTAATTCAATGTCTGACTTCAGTGCTTCTGCTGGTATATTGTCAGGTCCTGCCGCCTTCCCACTTTTGATTTGTCTGATGGCCATTTTGACTTCTTCGATCGTTAGTGGGGTGACATCTATTGGAAGGTCAGTGTGTGCTGCTTCAATGTTCGGTGGATTCAATGGGGCTGGTCTATTCAGCAGTTCCTCGAAGTATTCTGCCCATCTTTTCTTCTGTTCTTGAAACTCAGTGATTGTCTTTCCTTCTTTGTCCTTGACTGGTCTCTCTGGTTTGCTATATCTTCCTGCCAATGTCTTCGTTGTATCATATAGTTGTCTCATATTCCCTTCTCTTGCAGCTTTTTCCGCCGCCGTTGCTAGTTCTCCCATGTATTTCTGCTTGTCGGCTTTAATGCTTTTCTTCACTTCCCTGTTTGCTTCTGCGTAGTCTGCTTGTGCTTTGACTTTCTCTACTCGTGTTCGACTGTTGTTAATTGCTAGTTTCTTGTTCTGCCTTTCTTGAATTTTGTCCAGGATCCATGTGATGATGCTTCTTAGGACCAAGAACCTCCTGACACGTTGAAGTTAGCGCTCCTTTTATCTCTTTCCAGTTGTCCTCCAGAGTAGTTTCTTGTTCATTCAGTAGATCCTGGAACCTGTTGTTGAGAGTTATCTTGAATTCGGGGAGCTTGTCAATATCCCGAAGGAAGGCTGTATTGAACCTCTGTAGTGCTGTTTGTCCAGTCTTTCTTTAGTTTCAGTCTCATCTTGGCCACAACCAGGTGGTGATCTGAAGCTATGTCAGCTCCTCTCCGGGTTCTCACGTCTTCCATTAATTTTCGGAATTTTTTTTTGATACAGATGTGATCTATCTGGTTTGGTCCAGTGAGATCCATGTAGCTTTGTGTATGCGCTTGTGTGGGAATATTGTGCCGCCTATAACCAATTTGTTGAATGCACATAGGTTTGAAAGTCTCTCCCCATTTTCATTTCTCTCTCCTAGTCCATGTCGTCCAATTACATCTTCATATCCTGTGTTGTCCACTCCAACTTTAGCATTTAGATCTCCCATCAGGATGGTAAGGTCCTTTCGTGAGCACTTCTCTATAATTGACTGCAGCCTTTCATAGAACTGATCTTTATCATCGTCGTTGCTATCATTGTTGGGTGCGTAACATTGGATAACGTTCATAGTGATCCCTTGCTTCTTTGTTCTGAATGATGCTTTGTCTATCCTGGGTCCATGAGATTCCCATCCCACAAGCGCATTTCGTGCTTCTTTGGACAGAATTAGAGCAACTCCGAGTGTGTGGAGCATTTTCCCCTTCGTGACCGGAGTACAGCAGCATCTCTCCTGTACCTAGCCTTTGTTGTCCAGTTTGTGTCCAATGGGTTTCGCTGATTCCGAGTACTGCCAAGTTGTATCTCCTCATTTCCATTGCTATTTGGCTGGTCTTTCCTGTCTCCCACATTGTCCGGACGTTCCATGTACATATAAAGAGTGTTGCTCTAGTTGTTAGAACGTGCATCGGTCTCGTGACTTCCGAAGAATTTCGGCCTTCATCATGAGACGTCATAATTATTCCTTCAACTCCCAGGGCAGAGTTTAAATGGTTTGAATTATTCTTTTCTGGTTAGCGTTTTTTTAGCGAGTTAGCTTTTCTACGGGATGGGGTTGCTAACCCCATGCCCAACCCTCCTCCTTTACCCGGGCTTGGGACCGGCAGTAACTCTAGAAGAGCTACAGGCGGAGTGATAAACACACTTCAGTATTATGTATAAAATGTTACATACCTGATTATCTTCACCATTTACAGCTGACAGTGTATCCGAATTATTAATTTTTAAGTTATCTTCATTAGATTTCGTTGGCGCAGAATGAATGGTAGAGTTATGATGATTAGTCGCTTGCTGGCTAACATTATTTGTCGATGAACTGCCGACTTCTTTCATTGCTAAGCGACTTTTTGCTGCTGCCAGTTGTAGTATTTCTGGAGCAGGAAGAACATTTACACTGAGAGTCCGAGATGACGCAGGATTTGTATCAGTACTAACATTCATAGTGCTGGTTACACTAGTAACTGTACCACTGACACTACTACTATTACTCCCTGATGTAGATGACAACAATGCTTCGGCAATCATTTTATCTAAAGCTTCACAGAATGCAATATCCTCAGGACAATCAATAAATCGTGGCTTCAACTCATAGTTCTGATCATTCTCCTCTTCCTCTGCTTCTTTTCCTTCTGTTTTCTCCTTTATGAAGTCAAAAATAGAAAAAAAAACAATTGCCAAATCATCCAGTGATATTATTTTACAAGAGTTAGTGAGAGCATGCATAAATTAAAATGTGCAGAAGAAATTAATTCACATATTTGTTGAGGATGCAGTCACCAGTTACAACTTATGAAAAGCAAACCAATATCGATTAGATTGAAATTCTGTTACAGTAAATCATCATCACGGTGAGACTATAATTCATGGACTATCTTTGAGCGACGCTAAACTGGCCTTGAGAACGTCCACCTGATAACTAGGACCAAATGAGAGTTATAAACCTGTGTGAGAAATTAGAATTATGATTTACAGTTGGTGATTAAGGTTAGAAATTAGATTTAAGGTTTTCATCTAGAACTGAAATCAGCTATGATGCCAAAACTCTATTTATCCAAATGGATGGGTGAATTTCGCGCCAAAATCAGAGGTATGTTATCCTATACGTGATTGGTTCGTCCATAAATACTAGTCTCGCCTGGGACACTATTCAGAGAATTTCAAGAGATTTTTACTCAGTTTGAAACATTTTAATCATTATTCTTTTACTGATATATAATCGACAAACTTGTTGTATTCTGGATTGATTATACTGGGTTAACATGAAAAAGCCTAGTCTACAAAGCCTGGTATTTTGACTTTAGTAAGTGGAGCAAGGAAAAGAAGAGTATACAAGAGGTCTCGTTCACGACATTGAAGCTCGAGTAGTGAAATGATCAGCACAGCGCACGAATGTACGAAGACTGTTACTTGCATAGCGGTCTTAAACATTAAATTACAATATATTATGCACAAACCGAGCCATTTACCAGTGCGAGATCAATATCCTCTTGAGATTGTTGGCTATCGACGCGAGCACGACGACGACTACCATCTGATTCTACCAAATCAGTAGGTTGACGGCGTTGCGATGAATGAGTTTCACCTGCTTCTTCATCTTCGTCATCCAAATCAGAATCTTCATCCATAGAATACTCATCGTCATCCAGCTGGATGTCTTCTGGAAAAGTTAAACAGAAAACTACAAACTACTATCATTCGGCAAATTGTTGAGACGTTTATAGTCATCCATGTGTTTGATAGTCCTGTCTAAATTGGTTTAGATGAATGAACTCTTGTGTCTAAATAATTAGCTTTACAATGAAGAAATACTACAATCTTGTATCGTACATGAAGACACTTGTGTAAGAGCTTTCATCACATTGGGCCAAATAACATTTTCAGATAATGGAATACAACTGAGACTGAATACTACTGTTTTTAAATATACCAAGAAATATAAAAATTCAATTGATATCTACGTCTGAATTCTGTCTGTGCTTTTGGGGTCTTCTTTCTTCAGTGATTTAGTTACGTACCAGATAATTATGGAAAACAATATCTAAACACGTTTCCTGATCAATATTATATATAAAGAGAAACTAATATGATCAGAAACCGAGACTAGCTGGATAAAAGACACCAGACTCTCAAAATCGAACTAACGCGTTAATTTAGTTAACGTTTTTTTTTAGTTAACCAGAATTACAAATTAACCAATTCAGATTCCAAAGATTGAATTTTACTATAATTACCTTACGCCTTTTTTTCACTGAGTGAAAAATCTGAGTTACATAACCAAATGTTGTTTACTTTGAATATAATTTACCCCAAAATGAGACACCTTAATTTACATTGAAAATAATCGCTAATCTTGTAAACCTTACCATAGAAATAACCTTCTTGCTTTCTAGAATAATCAGTTTGTGTAACAAAAATTGAGTCATTCACACACAATGTGTTCCTGATTACTTGATTATAAACTGTGGTCATGACAAATTACGAAAATTTAAACGTACTCGATGACTCGTCATAAAAGCGATGGAACTAGTGCAATTACTTCAAGTGTTAGAAAACCTTACCATCTTCTTGTTCAGCCTCTTCAGTTATCGTATCCATGTGACCAGGACCAGTCGGTCGAAGTGATTTGCTCTCTGAAAGTATCTTTAGATCTTGAACACCATTCTCCACGTTTTCTGATTCACTTGTTAGTCCATATGTAGCCTTAAGGCGTGCAAGGCGAGGCAAGCATCGGGCTTCCAGATGACGGACGAGACGTTGTGCTTCTGCGAAATTTTTCGCTCGACCAACATTACCACGGAACTGTTGTAAGGTTTCAAAATATTGTTGCTCTACTGCAACAGGAAAACGCACAGGAACAAACATAGGTAAATGAGTTTGAGTATCTGAATTAGGACCAGAGATATCAACTGATGATTCAGGATTATTAGGTATCAATGAATCTTCAGAATGATTTACAGCAGGCTCTTCAATCGAAGACGTTAGTTCACCAGTATTGAGATCTGTCTTCGTTTCACCTACTGATTTGGCTGATGATAACTCGGCGTCGTTTTTCGACTGCACCCATATAGGAAGAGAACGCTTGAACCAGTAGTAACGCTAAAATAACAAAGATTGGTGGAAAAAATCGTAAATAACACGCTAATTATGCTGAGAATATATTTTCTAGAGGGTGAAAAACTGGCCAGAAGACACATAAGATACAACTATATTTATAAAACAAGGACAATAATAGCAAGTGAATTCTATTCACCTACTTACAGCATCTATCCGCTTTAATCGTTGCTTAAAGTCACTCAGTCAGTCGGATACAACGTAGGACCAGGCATATATACGCACCGGTCCAAGTTGCCACACCTCATTATCACAACAAGATGACCACCGAATTCATAGAAGTAGTTACTTCAACAGTTTGGCAATCAGTGTCCGCAGGTACGGTATGTGCTTGCACCTTTCAAGTGCAAAGTACTCCTACAAGACTGGCAGGATTCTAATCCTGTACTCACCCTGGATGGTGAGCAGATTGAAGTAGTTGAGAAGTTCGTGTATCTAGGTAGCTATATAAGTGCTGGTGGTGGTGTGAGTGATGAGATCGATGCAAGTATAATGAAAGCCAGAGCGGCTTATGCCAATCTGGGCCATCTTTGGCGCCTTCGTGATGTTAGTCTGGCTGTAAAAGGTCGGATCTACAACGCGTCGGTGAGAGCAGTTTCGCTCTATGCTTGTGAAACCTGACCTCTCCGAGTTGAGGATGTTAGACGACTCTCTGTGTTCGATTATCGTTGTCTCCGAAGGATTGCTGACATACAGTGGCAACACCATGTTAGTAATGCAGAGGTTCGGCATCGTGTTCGGGCGCAGAGACGATAATTCAATTGGTGTCACCATCTTGAAACACAGATTTCGGTGATTTGGACATGTTCTACGAAGGTCGTCCCAGAGAATTCCACGTCGTGCATTATTTGCTGACCCTGGGACTGATTGGAAAAAGCGGAGAGGTGGTCAGTGTATGACATGGTGTCGTGGCATGAAAGAAAGCTGCAAAGGGCTAGCTTCTGTTGGTCCTTCACGACTCCCTGGCTGGGGTCCGAGAGATGTTGCAACACAGTGGCTAGAGACGTTATCGGATATGGCTCAGAATAGAAGCCAGTGGCGATCCTGCTGTAACCTTCTTTTACTTACTTCATAAAGAGTGGTTATAACTTTCTTAACTGAAAGAGTCTTCTGGTTGTACATTTTAGTTCTCCCCATCATTACTCTTCTCTTTTTTCTCATCTTATTTCTCTTTCTTTTATATATACGCATCTTCCCCCTTTCTCTTCCCATTCTCACTGTTTTGTGTGGCGCATATGTATCTGGTGCCCCTTTGTACTAATATGTGTGTTTAAATAAATAAATAACTTTAACAGTAGAAATATATAAAAAAAGATTGTATATAAGGATATGCTACAGGAAGAAAAAAATATGAATAGATTTTAATCTCATTTTAAAGTAAGACAGAGTGTATAAACCTACGCCATTGTGATCGGTTCTGAGCCATGTCACACAGAGTCACCGACCACTGGTTATGGTAGTCACATGGACCCCAAGCAAGTAGTCTACATCTACCAACATGGCTCACACTAAAAGTTGGTGACTTTAAGCGCTGATACCACGTTTTGGTTTGGCCGCCCTTAACTCTCTTCCAACCATCCCCAATACTGGTCAGCATTGCGAGTCGTGGTAATCGGTGTTCAGGGATATGTAACACGGGGCCCAACTATCTCAGTTGATGAAGATTCACAACCTCATCAACTGATTTACCATCATTCCCTAATACCTTGCATCTTACCTCACTATTACTTACCCGGTGATCCCAGCAGATGCGAGCAATATTTCTAAGACGCCTGTCACCAGATATTAGTAGCTCACAAGTATCCTCTACTCTTAATAGCCACGTTTCTCTACAACTGAACTACCATCCTTAAAGATCTCTAGAGTAAATCTGTCTGAACCAGCTGCTCTTCCGCCTTTCAGATTAGCTATAGTTTTTTTAACTTAGAGTCGAGGAAGACTATCTCAATGTTCCATTAAGGTTGTTTGGAAATGGTCGGTAGCTGTAGAGTAGCTGAAGGCCAGCTGAACTACTCCTTAAAGTGTTCATTATAAACATCTAGAGTGGGAGCAGATAAGTGTATTATCTTTTTCCAAGATTATCTCGCTTACACTTGACTTGTTAATTCCAGTTTCTTTTATTAGTCTGAAAAGCTGTCTGGTGTTACCTAGAGCCCCTACCTTTTCCATTTCTTTTGCTTTCGCTGCCCATCACTGCTCATGGTCGTTCCACAGATTTTTGGTTAAACTAGATCTGATTTGTTTTTGCTCTTCATATCGTTCGGAGCATGATGGGATAAGTTCACGAGAGTCTATCAGTGCAATAGATGTCTCAGAAATCCATTGGTTTTTCGTAGCCCTTTGCTTCAAACCACTGGTGGATTTCGCTTATGTTTCCGCAGCTGTTCGTATATCTTTCCAAGCAACATCTGTGTCAGCCTCGTTTTTGAGATTGTCTAAGTGTGACTTCAATTGTGCCTGGAATTTATCTTTGGCTTCCTCATCGTTGAGTTTAACTCTAACCATTGAAAACCCGGAAGTACTGAACGACCGTTTTGTCCCAGTATGGGACACAGAAGTGCGCATTCATGTTTCCTCACGCAGGACACTAATCAAAGACCTAGTTTCGCAAGCGAATGCCTAACCTTTACACCCTTGAGCCGGGATCCCATGGTGTTAATTTATAACTCCGAACAATCCACCATAGTGCTTGAAAATCTATTATCTTAGGTGGGTAATTACCATACACCCAACACGGTTGAATTCCACTTGTTACGGGATTTCTGTAGAACTCTGAGAATTGCCTTTGGAAGCTAGTCACTAGTGGGTCCAGTGGTATAAAAGTTAGGCGTTTGCACGAGACTGAAGGTCCCAGATGCACACTACAGAGAAAGCCCATAACAAGATGAAAGGGTCGTTCAGTGCTTCCAGATTTACAGTGGTGGGCTAACATTGATCGATTCCTGATCTCAATGAGACTCAACAATCTTCACAGCCCTATACTGTTAAAAATGAATAAATTATTAATAAAGAAATTAGTTGTGAAAATCCTCAATACCAACATACAAAATGGATTTATATCTACTCAATATGTATTGACCAATTACTTAAAATAAACGTCTCAGGAAGCATATGTATTAAAATTTCTTGTCTAGTAAGTAATTGTTTATTTTTTTTAAAGAATAAACAACAACATTATAATTACCTGAAAGTATATAAGGAATATATTTAATTTTCGTCGCTTTTTACCCTGATCAAAGAAACTTCCAGATGTTTCAAGTAGCGTGCAAATTAATGTAATTCGAAATAATGAATCCGGTGGATCAATAATACTTGGGAAATCAACTATAAAAATGAAGGGAAAAGTGTTTCTCGAAAAAATATGATAATTAAAGTAAAAGCAGCACAAACGATAATATATAACCGTGTAATTATATATATAGGGAGAAAGACTGAGTGAACAACGAAAAAAGGTTTTTGACGTTTTGGTTATTAATGAAGATATCATATTCTAATAAGATGCTTCAAAATGGTGCAATCGCCTTTCCGAAACTTCCGTTTAATATACAAAGACATTTATAAAATGAATAATTTTCGAGTATTTTCGAATCCACTAATTCATCCAGTTGATGTTTGAATAAACAAAATATATTGTAATCAGCTACTCATGAGACAAATGTACACTGAGAAAAGTTTCCACCTGATTACTCTACAACTAAATAATTCATTGATTAATAGTCCTTTAACTACCGACAAGAAATAATAATCATATACACATTATTTGTATTGGTAACTTACGATCCAAGCTAACACCGAATGTGAGAAGGGAGTAAAGTGTTTTAAATATCACTGGAGAATCCACCAGACAATAGTTATACAACAAACCAAGGTATTTGACCATTACAATTCGACGCTGATTCAAACTGGGAAGGTTGAGCTGAAAAGCAAATGGAAGTGAAATCATGTATGCCTTTTCGAGCCCGAAATGAGGTAAACCACCATATATTCTAACGGTGAAGTGTTGTTATGCCTGAAACTAAATCGATTCCGCGGTAACGAACGAAAGCCAATGACACAATGACACGATAAGCTACTCTAATCTGTTGTCCCAGGCCCCGCTAACTAGATGAAGAAGTCCAAGGCAAGTAGGGGAATATATATGTATTCCGTAAGCAGCCGAGTACAAGCAATCGAATAAGGGAAAAGTCAAGCGCATTTATACAACAACAATTTGTCCTTGAGCATCATTGGTAAATAGCACACACAAAGAAACAATGGACCAATAGCGTTTAAGACAGTTTACAAGTGGGAGATATGACGTGAAGGTAAAAAGAGCGCGTTTGGCGCGGAAACAGCTAAATTCAAATTTTCAAAATAAAATTACAAAACTAAGCCATTTACCAAGTAAGTTCTGGGGATTTGACATCCCCAACAAGTGTACAATAATTAAATACATAATTTTAAGGTCATTGAATGGGTCAGAAGTAAAAATGAAACCATGGTGAATACAACAGTTACTTAACAGAGTACAGAATTGAGTACTGTGACGTGACAGAGCAAATTATGCAATGCTCTCTATTTACTTGCTTTAAACAGTCCTTAAAGCGATAAACTCCCGAGCACTGAACATATTTTTATAAATAAAAAAGCTACACACTCAAAAGAATATACAGATGACTATTTTGGCAGGAAGGTGTCATAAAATAACGAAACGACACCAGAGACAGCAATCGAGAAACTACTACTGTCATTTAGGTCAGAGGTAAATGTATTTTATTTTTACCAAACATGTAGGGAATTCGAATACTTCTATATTCAGCTCACTTTAGGTGGGTAGGACGTTTTGAACACTGATCGATGAGTACTATAAATGATTCATTTAATTTACATTTTTTTGTATATAGTTGAAAACTTAGAACTTGCTAACATTTACAATTGACCATCAGTCTTCAGTAGTTTGAGATGTATTTAAACCAGTGATAGAAAATTATTAGACGAGAATGTTCATTTTCTGAAAAAACCCTTTAACTTACCTCCATTCCCGCACGGATATCTTCGATGACATTGTCGACAACAGCCATGGCAAAGTCCGAATGATAAGTAGCTAACCCAGATAACACACTGGCTAGACAGTTTATATTCGTATAACGAACATCCCATGCCCTAGTGAAAAGGGTGCACGTAAATTCGACAAGCTATTGAGGGACAAACAGCCACAAGAATGAATCAGATGTGTATTGAGAATACTTTTTTGAAAAAAAATGCTACGCAATTTAATAGTTTTCAGGAAAATCACATTGGAACGAGAGAAAACGCCCAAATGGAAACTCAATAATAATAACACTCAGCTAAGACCTATTAACGAAGCACTTAAAAAGCCATGCAAATAATTATGGACTATTTATTTATATTTATTGAGTGAAAATTAGTGATACTACTTACTGGCAAAAGCAAGAGACAGTAAATTGGTGGACTACTAAGGTATAGTCATGATAACAGTGAACTGTAATCCGGAAAAAACGTTGCATAGTATGAAGTTACTAAGAAAACTATTTAGACTCAGTAACCAAGTGCGGATTCTTTAAATGATTTTCTAAGAGACTTGTCGTTAGGACTTATTGCAGTAACCAGTTAGCTTGACTGAATGAAATGAAATATGACTCACAAATAACAGTCAGTGACTGAAAACCCGATGTTTACATTCGTAAATCATACCCAAAACTGTGATATCTTCATTTTGGAAGTCTTTTAACTGAAGATCATCAATGTTTTTGTGACATGCTGAGAGAAGTCGGCCTATCTAGGTTATTTAATTTTGATTAAGACGACACTTTAAGAAGACTTGTAAATTATTGTACAATGAGCTCATTAATTACCTACAATTTTAAAGTTATTGATCTGAATACAGAAAACGACGAAATTTGTAAAATCGTGACAGTAAAGCATCTACACTTACTTCTTGATCATTCCAATCCATTTTTCGAATTAGCCGTAAAGTTGTATTAACGGTAGTTCGGTCCAATTTCGTTAGCAAAATATGACGTATAAACATCATTTGAGGTGTCAACTTCACAGGTTCGACAATCTAAACCATTTAGAAAGAGAGGAAGATAGACGAATTAGTGATTATATATATGGACTACAAATCCACTGGATATTTGATTTACTTATTTATACAATGAAATGAAGTAGTACAAAGAACTCTGAGTACTAATTACACAAACTAAAAGATATTTATAATTAGAAAATCTCACTTTGCAATTAGTTTGCGAATGTATATTTGACACTGATATCGTCAAAACACTTGAACACTATACTATGCTAACTTGATAAATGTGGCTCCATTAGAATTCTCTAACAATTTATATGATCACTGATCGCCTTACCAATACATAAATAATTTAAGTTAATATTATAACTTAGCATTTGTTACCAAGCTTTATGTATGCTTTTTTTATTCATATACGATAAACTCAAAATATTTGCATGGTGAATCATACCAACCGAACAACCAATATGAGCTATACAAACAAAACACAAACGAAAAATAATACAATATGAAAGTTACGAATATACTGTTAGTGTTGTATATTATATTTACGAATAATAAGATACCTGGCGATTGGACGGTGGTGGATTACAATAATAATATGTATTTTCAATCATAATAGAATAACGCTGATCCATATGTAAGGCAACTTTTTTTCTGAGCATTATTTCTAAATAAACTTTTGTACGTTTATGTGATATAGGTAAACGATAAAGAAAACGCCCACAACTATCCAATAAAGCACAGGCCATATCAATGTTATGGTGTACAAATTGTGGAAGAAGTTGTTTTAAGCAAGTCAAAGCTTGATGAGCTGGATAAATCTTAAATTTGACAAGTTCCCCTAAAAATAAAAGGAATCAAAGAAAAACACTGTTTAATTTATAAACAACTTAGTTGGAAGCATGAATAGACATTTATAACTAAACAACGCCTATAAGTTCCCCCCTTGTTATAAGTGAAATCACAGAAAATGTAGTCATAAACCTTGAAACATAAATCTACCGAAGAAATGGTCTAATTCAGCATGTATATACAATAACTGAAAGCGTGATAAAATGCATAGTGGCTGCTAAGTTCAGTCTATGAGGTAATAAGGGTATTTAAACATGTGCAAACAGACATCATCACAGAGTTTGACATGTGCGTTGGGACAAGCTAATATACTTAATTAGCATGATGAGATGAAAGTAACAAGAGATAGAAATAATATAGTATCAATGAAATAAAGAATTACTGTACCTTGAGAATATGATTTTAAAAGACAGAGTGGGAAGATAAAAGGTGAATGTATTTAGTCTAATGTGAACAATTTTGAACCATTTGACGCAAACTCGCTAACCACTATTAAACCTAGGGGTATGAAAGCAAACTGCAACATTTTGAAACTCATAGTTACACCGATTACAAATCTAATGCCATTATGGTCAAATTAGCGTAAAATCACCAAGTATACGTTACCAAGTTACGATAATAGTATGTAAACTTACCAATAAATCGAACCACTTTCAATTTGGAATCGATATTTAATTGGTCTCGTTTAGATAGACGCCAACGGAACTCTGCAGTAAGCATAGAATTGATATCCTGTACCAAGTCAGGCATTACTGGGGCTAATGAAGCCACAAAGCGTGCATAAAATGGTAATAAATCATAACGCGTTCTTGGGACATTAAATAAAGCTTTAGCAAGCCGTCGACGATTTGCTCGTTTATTTAAGTTCAAACAGAAGTCGATAGCTGCCTGAGATGGAAATCAAAAAGGTAGTGTTTACTTCATTCAAAAACAAAGAATCCGTCATTTAATCAAATAGCTGAGATATTCTTAACACACTGTTTTACAATGAAACTGGAAATTAAGTCATTTATTTGGATTAACATCAAAAGAGAATGCCACTTTTTAAACGTGACGCATAATATTTAAAGCTATTACCTTGGTAAGAATCGTTACTTAAGATCACACCAAAATACATATTTCCCTTATGTGATATACTGTGTTCCGTAACCGTTAACATCAGTGATTCTGAGGAACTACTGAATTTCAAGTGAAGAGAGCACATGTAAAGATACAACATACACACCTATTTCAACTTAGCATGACTACAGGTGAATTAAACCCTGCAGTCAAAACATTTTCTTTTATATTTCGAATTCTTAAACGTACTACTCCAATCCCTTGAAGAAAATGTATAAACTCAGACAAAACCTTTTGTTAAGTAGTATAACAAATTGTCCTACAATTTTTATTCGGAAATTATCCTCACTTGTATACGGCTAAAAAGGTAACACCATATAGCGAATTATTCGATATTCACATGAACTTGTTTGTGTTTTACTGAAATTCGTAAAATATATTGTACGAGATTTCTTCCAGAAAAAGTAACACATGTAAATCCGATGGCAACTGTTGTCAAGTCACAAAAGCAAAGTGTATTTCTAATCTGTTGTGATTTAATAGCACTTTTAACGAAAGGTGGCTGCTGTTGAACGTTTGCAGTTCTTGATACTAGTCGAAAGTCAGGAATAAATAAATTTTAAGATGATAATAATAATAATCACTTCAATTAATACCGTTACAAAACTAGTCTTTTGATTTATGGGTGAAAATAAATCCAATATCTGCGATTTTCGAACTATAGGAAACATATTCTGTGGGTTTTCAGTGAAAACTAGTGATAAGGACGAAGTGATAACGTGATTTAGTGGTTGTCCACTAGACAGAAATAACGGAAGTATATTTTTTCCTGAATTCCTCATAAAACTAATTATGTATACCGAAGCAAATTCTGATGCCGAAATTCAGAGAAGTTTAGTACAAGTTTTCAAATATAATATTTACTTACTCGATCGATGAGATCCCGATTAATGCAGTTTGGTAATTGGGTTAAAAACGTTTCCATGAGGACTTTCCCCGAAGGATTTAGATCTTCTTCACCTAGCGACATGAAGAACATTGAAACAAACCTACGATTAATGACAAAAATTATCCTCGTGAAGTTAAAAACACAAATGTTAGGAGCAATAACTACTGTTGGTTACCAAAGTTATTATTAATTTATAAAGCAGGACAGAGAAGTTTATTGTAAGAAGCTAGGTTTTTATATTTGAAAATTAAATAGATGTGATTCTGGGTTGTTAAATTATATCGCTATGAAATCGAAAACGACTTTTCCAGTTTCACAGTAGACAATAATATGTCAATGTACTTATCAGGATCGTATGATCATGAAGTAGTTTACACGCTGCAGCATTACATCAGTTCTAAATTCCAAAGTATGAAATACTAGGATTCAGTGAGTATATGAAACAGAGAAAGATTCGTAGAAGTACTGTGTATCGCAATTTTAGTAAATTCGAACAAGTTGCACCAAAAAATCTCAAGATTATGTATAAGAGACTTAGTACATCACATTTTCAAATTCTATCACGAACCTTTACAACTTAAAACAGTAAATAATCACTACATAAAAACATTGTATAAAAAAACATACCATCATCGGTATTTAACAGATATGGTTTTGATTTATCAAGTACAGATGTGCAATTAGTTGATTCATTACCATCTTCTGATACTCTAATTAATGCTTCTTCTTTAGCTAATTCTGATTCAACCGTGTCAATATCAATATCTACAATGAATAAAGACAAAATTGCATCTCATTCTTTACAAAAATGACAATATAACATCAAAACGGTTTCAACAACAGATAATTATGACAAAATTCATTTGCTCAAATGAACAGAGCGAATGACAACAGGAATGTTAAGGGTTAACAAGAATCTTTTAAAATTTAACATGGACTATTGAATTGATAGTTGTAACTGTTAACAATACTTGTTAACGAATCCCTAAGAGACGTCTGGATTCGCATAAACCCTTTTCATGGGTAGTGTGCTTTAAGTCAATTAACCGAAGGCCATGAATAATTAAGATCAACCACCTTGCATTCTGTAATGCACAGGGTATCCCCTAAATGCCCGGGTACGGCCGAGGGTGAGGAGAGTCAACTCTAACCCACCAAATCCGCTCACATGGCCACGTGCATACAATTAGTAATATGGAAGTACTACTCACTGCCTTCTCGTAGTGGGGGTGTTGAGAGAGCGAAAGTCAAGCGCTTTAACCGAGTTGGTGGGCACAGAGGGTCCAACTAGGAGAGTCAGAAAACCCTGATTCCAAACCAATGGTGCACATGGACTTCAAGATTCTGAAGGAACAAATGGCGTATGAACCAATTACTGGTCACCGGCTACCGTGGGACTGCATCTCCTAACGTTGCTCCACTGTCTTATGGATCAGACTATTAGGTCGAAGGCTCCGGGTGTGGCTCCCTAAGAAAACCACGTGCTTCGGTCTGGGCACCCGGGCAGTATCAGCTCACGTACAAATCAAGTGACTTGTGTGACGCATATGTATTCGGTGCCCGTTTATATCAACATTTGTGTTCAAAATAAATAAATAATGCAGTTTGGACCACCATTCAGAAACTTCGTAAATTGGTTTCATGATAATTGCTAAATACATTGAGGTTTGTGGACATTAATACCCGATCGTTGCTGCTACCTTGACGTGGTGGTCGGGCTTGCCTATCGTGATGAAGCAATCGAGCTATGCTGGCTGGAACAGTCGTTCCTCGAGGTCCTACCATGCCAGGCAGGTCGGTTGAAGAGCGGTGAGACTAAAAGCAGCAAACCCAAGGTCCGAAGGCGAAGTCGTACTGCTGACTGTACAGAGGTGTGACGGCAGTAAGGTGTTTCCTTCAGACAACCAGCATGACAGCGATGCTGCCTTCCCACAAGGAGGGGTGGGGTTAGAAAAGGTCGACCCTAAAAATGCACTCCTCGCCCTATCCCACGGATTTCCGTCTCCGGCGGTAAGGTTTTTTTTTGAAGAACGGAGCTAACACAAAAACTACCCACAAAAAGGTCGTGTGTGACCGACCTCAAGCAGTTGTCCCTTGGGCACTGCGGTCACGCTCTCAGGTCATTAAGACCACTCCTAACCCAATTTCCTTTTCAGGTACCTCTAGAAGAATCCTTCCACGGTGTGGGCAACCGGGAAGTGATAACTGCCCTCATACCTCTAACAGCACTCAAGACCACTGTATTCATAATCAATCTTCTTCTTCAATTCCTACTATTCCCTCTACCTTGACTTTCAACACTAAACTTCCTGTTCCGGTTTCCTCCTCAAGTGTCACCATGGCCAACGATTCTAGTGCGCGAAACGCTGTCCCAGGTCTACTTAAACCTCGCTCCAAACTACACATTGGAGCCTTCAACGTACGTACCCTATGCCAAATCGGTCAACAGGCCTCCTTAGCTAAAACCCTAGAATCTCGTACCATTGATGTATGCTGTGTCTCCGAAACACGCATACAGGATCCCAGTGTGGTCATTCACTTGACCTCACCTCGCCAAAATGGACAACCAACGAAATACACCCTCCGTGTATCTGGCGACCCGTTGGCTAGTTCTCGCGGACTTGCAGGTGTAGGCATAGCACTAAGTACAAGGGCAGAACAGGCACTATTAGAATGGATCCCCGTTAACAGTCGCCTGTGTGCTGTCCGGCTGAATGGCTCCATAAGAACTCGGAAGGATAGGGACACACGTCGTTGCCTTTTCGTCGTTTCTGCCTACGCTCCCACCGACTGCAACCATGATGAAGTGAAAGATGACTTTTACAGAAAGCTCTCTGAGCTTCTTCAGAAAGCTAAGCGCTCAGACATAGTAGTCGTAGAGGGTGACTTTAATGCCCAGGTGGGCAGCTTAAATCAAACAGAAAGACATTTAGGTGGGTGTTTTAGTATTCCGGCTCAACGAACCGATAATGGTGATCGTCTGTTGCAACTATGCTCAGACAATCGTTTATTTTTAGCAAGCACTAATTTTAAACATAAGGAGAGACATCGTCTAACATGGCGACCACCTGCACCAAACCAACGATGGACTCAAATAGACCATATTGTCATCAGTCATCGTTGGAGAGGCTCAATAGAAGATTGTCGCTCGTATTGGAATACTTGTTTAGACTCTGATCACGCTTTAATACGAGCGCGCATTTGTCTGCGCCTCAATGGACGCAGGAAAAGTACACTAAGAAGACCCATTAGGATTGAACTGGAGGACGAGAAAGCCAAATGCGAATTCCAGAAACAACTAAGTTCACATCTAGGCAGTTCTGTAAACAAGACTGACACAGATACTGCTTGGAAAGACATACGAACAGCTGTGGAAACAGCAGTAACATCTATTAGTCATTTAAACTATAGGGCTCCAAAAAACCAGTGGATTTCCTCTAAGTCTATTTCACTGATGGATTCGCGTAAACTCATCCCATCAGGCTCTGAACATGACGAAGAGCGTAAAGAAATTAGATATAGGTTAACTAAAAGTCTAAAGAATGATCGTGAGCAGTGGTGGGCAACGAAAGCAAAAGAGATGGAAAAGGCAGCGGCTGTAGGCAACACCAGGCAACTATTCAGACTAATAAAAGAAACCGGAATTAAGAAGTCAAGTGTAAGTGAGACAATCTCCGAAAAAGACGGAACCCTTATCTGCTCTCAACCTAAACGTTTAGAACGATGGGCGGAACACTTTAAGGAGCAGTTTAGCTGGCCTTCAGCTACTGCACAACTACCCACTATTCCCAGAAAACCTGAATGGAACATTGAAGTAGGCCCCCCGACCCTACTTGATGTTCAAAAGGCTATAGGTAATCTGAAACGAGGAAGAGCAGCTGGTCCTGATGGATTGGTTCCAGAGGTTTTTAAATACGGTGGTCCAATTTTAGCGATTAGGTTGACTAATATTCTGGCTAAAATCTGGGAGACGGATGTAATCCCATCCGACTGGTCACAATCACTGATTGTCCCAATATATAAAAAGGGGTCAAAATCATCCTGCGATAACCATAGAGGGATTAGTCTGACCAACATAGCATCTAAAATACTAGCCTCAATAATTATCGGGCGCCTAACTAAGACTCGTGAACTGCAAACACGAGAAAATCAGGCTGGCTTCAGACCTGGTCGTGGCTGTATCGACCACATATTCACCATTCGTCAAGTCTTAGAGCACAGACACGCTTATCGGCGTCCGACAATGATAGTTTTTCTTGACTTGAAAGCAGCATTTGACTCTGTAGACCGAGAGGTTCTGTGGCAGTGTCTGTCATTGAAAGGTGTACCTGAGAAGTACATAAACCTTGTGAAGGCTCTTTACTCGAACACTACCAGTCGAGTGAGAGCTTATGGCGAACTGTCATATGATTTTACAACCTCAAGTGGTGTCCGTCAAGGCTGTCCACTATATCCATTTTCATTTAACTTCATTATAGACCTGTTGCTGGAAATAACACTCTCTTCGACTGAATTTACAGGAATTGATCTCCTACCAGGGGGACCACTAATCGACTTAGAATACGCAGATGACATAGTCCTGTTTGGTGAAGACGCTGGCAAAATGCAGAGTCTTCTGTTGGAACTCAGTAATAATGCCAGGATGTTTTGGATGCGTTTCTCCCCATCCAAATGTAAATTGTTACTCCAGGACTGGCCTACGTCAACACCTGAACTAAGGATAGAGAGTGAAGTAGTCGAACGCGTTGACAACTTCACTTATCTTGGAAGTCTGATCAGCCCTAATGGGTTGGTGTCTGACAAAATCTCAGCGCGTATTCGAAAAGCTCGTTTGGCTTTTGCCAACTTACGTCACCTATGGCGAAGACGAGATATCCGTCTATCAATTAAGGGACGAGTATACTGCGCATCAGTTCGCTCTGTTCTACTTTACGGCTGTGAAACATGGCCATTAAGAGTAGAAGATACTCGTAGGTTACTAGTATTTGACCACAGATGCCTTAGAAATATTGCTCGCATCTGCTGGGATCACCGGGTAAGTAATAGTGAGGTTAGACGCAGGGTATTAGGGAACGATGGTAAATCAGTTGATGAGGTGATGAATCTTCATCGACTGAGATGGTTGGGCCATGTGTTACGTATGCCTGAACACCGATTACCACGACGCGCTATGATGACTAGTATTGGGGACGGTTGGAAGAGAGTTAGGGGCGGCCAAACCAAAACATGGCATCAGTGTTTGAAGTCACTAACTTCTAGTCTGAGCCATGTTGGCAGATGCAGACTACCTGGTTGGGGTCCGCGTGACTATCGTAACCAATGGTTGGAGACTCTAGGTGACATGGCTCAGAATCGGTCACAATGGCGTAGGTGTATACACTCTTTATCTTCCCTTAAACCTTGAGACTAAAATTGCTTCATATCTCTCTTCCTTCCTGTACTATATCCTTATATACAACCTATAATTTATATACTACTACCACCACTACATTAATTACTTCTATGAACCCGGTGGTCATCTTGTTGTGCTAACGAGGTATGGCAACTTGGACCGATGCATATATGTGCCTGGTCCTACGTTGTAGCTGACCTGACATGACCTGACATTAATATCTCTTCAAACAAACATGAGATATGAAAGACAGTGACTGGATATATATAAATAAAGCTTTGGATATAGTTATTGACATATAATGACGATTTCCTAGATTCAATTATTTTCATTGTTTACAATCCTATGCATAATTTCGAAAGTTCATACAATCCGACTCTAATACACGAAGGTATTACTTCAAAGGAAGTAATCAAATACCTGTGTTCCCTACATTAGTAACATAAATAAAGTTATCTTTTTTTATTTCACAGCTTTCTTAGTATAAAGAGTCAGGATAGGAGTTAACGACAGTAAATAACGAGTATACTTGACCTTTGGAATGGATTCTAGTTAAGCACAAAGAACACAAATACCACACCATTGACCTTGTGTTCAGACGAGGACTTTAATGAAAATGCAGTGGATAAAAATTTTAATGGTGAGTTGCTTGAATATGTGCACGCCATACTCTGAACAAAAACCAAATTACATGTCGACGAGGCATTGTATGATAAAAACTAAATCAACACTAGTTGAAAATAAGACAGATAGAAAGTAAATAGTTGACACTACATAGTGTATATATCTTAATATGAAGTACGAGTAAACGAAACTTTTTGGGGTTTGCTTAGTGATCGGACCACTTGGCTTTTAATCGATGTTGTAATCTCAATCCTGCCCATACTAGCCGTCATTCAAGTATGACTCAAGAAGACGCATATAAACCTGTACTTAGTAAATGATTTACAATATTATTGCTAAACAAATTAAGACGATTTTTTCATTTTGAGGTCATGTATAACATATTGTCGCTCAGTGTGGTGATGAGACCAGAGTTGAATATGTCAGATCTGATATGAATTTATGACCAGAATGTATATCTTATATTTTGTGCTTGATTACCCAAGCCGAGAGTAAGATTAGAACCCAAAGAAAGCATAAACCGGTATATTTTTATAAATCAAGTATATTCGTTAAATAGATAGTGCTTTAATTTTGCTAAATATGAATCATAAATACCCAACAAAAAAGGCAACTAAATGTATTTTATATAGCATCAACATTGACAAATGAAATTCACTTAACCCAAAAATACATTCATAAAAAATCATGAGGAAGTTATGAAAATGTTGGATAAAAGCAAAACTTACCCTCACTTCCACCAGCAGGATCCCCATACTCATTTTTTGACTGATTTGATTCTACACCAGCTTGTTCACTTTCTTTATAAAGGATCTATTAGGAAACAAAATATACATGAAAGATATGTACGGATACTGACAATAAAGCAAAAACATGAAACAAACATAAAATTATTTTGTGAATAATTTTCATACAAAAAGTCCCACACTCACAGAAGCTGGCTATTGTTATGCAACTAATGGAAGTTAGAAATGTCTCACACGTGGATAAGCAAAACTTTCTAAAAAAAGTACATCACAAAAACAATCATGAAAACAATGATTAGGAAGTTAACTGCTTTGACAACACTAAAAGACAGTTTGCACACATTGAGGCAAACAGTAAACTCATTATATCTTTCCGAGTTGAAACTATGAGGTACAATATTTCATATTTATTAGACATTTTCAGTAGAGTAATAAAATGGTTTTTTGAAAACGTGTTGAGGCTATCCAAGTATCACTTGTAAAAGAATAAATCAAATACTAAACCATACCCGAGTAACAGGATTAAAAGTTACCTAGATGTAGATAATTACAATACAAAATACAAAGCAGTAAAAACAGTACAAAAAGTTAACAGCAGGTAACTAACCGCAGGTACCATTGCTTTGATATCAGGCAGACTTTCGTAAAATAAACGCGTATCTTCGTCTTCAAACAGATTAACTTCCTCATGAACGACTTTCTGTAATTTTAAATTTGATGATTAATAGATTTATCACTTACTTCGACTGAATCAGGTGCGACCGAGTCTGACGTAGATTCATCTATAAACGACAAAGATGTTATATAATTTGAGTTGCATAACATGTTAAGGAATAAAATTTTAAACTAATATGGCTAATTTACCTATCGTCAATCGTCTAGATAAATGAGTAATACAACAGGCCAGATGAAGGAAACTAAATTTACCATACCATTCTATCTAAGTAATGAGAACCTAAATACAAAATGAATTTCTTAGAAATATTCTTCGAAAGCGTGGTCTATTTAGAGCCCCTTTATTGTAGGCTTATTTGTATTTTAACTAGCAATTACACCGTCTTATATAGCATGGGTTATCAAATCCACTATTTCGTGATTCTTAGTACTAAATTTTAAGGGAAATCTAAGATAGAGTTGAACTCAGACCAATGACAACCAGATTAATGAGAAATTCAGCATCTATATACTGGCCCAGGTACAAGTCTTTGAACCGAACCTAACTACCAAGCCGTTTAAATCAACAAAGATGGACTGGGACCTGAACCTGTGAATTGTTTCCATTAGACACTGAGCTACATTACAACTTCAGCGATCAATCAACCAAGTTACATGACCGGATAACTATATTTCAATCCTATACAAACCCCTAAGTGCTGTTTATTTGTGTGAAACAAGTTGTTAATACTTCATACTAATTACACAAGTGTCTTTTCTTTATAATTCACATGTGGCTGAATTGAAAAGAATAAACAACTGAAACGGATGAATTTAATAATAAAAGGCAAGAAGTAATATAATATTCTAGAAACGAAAAAATACAGAATGGATATATTAGTGCCACAGGTACCTGTTCTCAACCATATTACTTAGTATTTAACCACTACATTTGGCTATCATGTGAGATCACATTACGAAGACTGCAACTCCACTATGTTACAGACTAACAATCACCTTTTCCATTAACAGGTGGTATATTTCCATTTGTTGATCTTTTGTTTTTTATTAACCAGCTTCTACACCAACCAATATAACCAACTGGGAACGAACGATGAAAGGAAAGTATTGACTCATATATGCGAACGATATCAGCGGATAAAGTTTGATAACCTCATTAATTAATTTACAGTGTTTGTCAGACGCTCATTTTCTAACACCAGCATTGCTTACTTATTAGTTGCAAAACACTCAAGGAATATTTTGAAAGCATTTTTGGTTGATATACGCAAGTCATTTGTATTTGGTATCCGGTGTTATGAGATATCTCATACATACACAGTGAAATCAAACTTGCCTTTTATCATTGATAAAAAATCAAGTGGCGGATCCGCGTCCAAAAGATCAGCTAAAGTACTTAAGGACTCGTGAAATTTACGACAGGCTGACATCAAATGCTCCGCCCGCTCTTGCCTTTCTTCGCTTACTTCACCACGACTTTCGAGTTGGTCCCTGTTTCCCGAGATGATTCGTTGGGTTTCTTTGACCATATTTTGTAAACGATGCATTGCTGCAGCTAGGTAGTCATTGAATAGTGTACGACACTTTGCTTGACGTTCGGATGACATGAAGATGGAACGTGGAACTGACATTTCATACTTTTCAGATAACAGTCTACATGAGATTAAAACAGATTAAATAATTAATTCAACCACAACTAACAGAACACAACATTAAATGTTATGAGCTGATTAGGAAAACCATCGTGAAGACTTCTGACTTGAGAGTCTTTCGGTTTAACACACTAAGTCCCCCATTTACATAGTGCAGACTCTCCGAAGTTGTCTTACCTAAAAGACCTCTTGCATGCGTTCATAAGAAAAAAGTTCAACAGCAAAGGAATGTCGGAATTCGCGTTAACCATTATAATGTGTTTCCGTTTGAATACAAGTAGCATGATTTAAGAAGTTGCATATATTCAACCATATTTTGGAGCATGTATATGATAAAAACAATCGAGTTTCATTTCACATGGACAATTATGTCATCCATGCATTATGTGAAGATTAACGGCAACACCTGAGGGTGGATAAGAAATATATCCTAACACAAACGAATTTCGATTGCTCACAGTTACTTATCCTAACTGGTAATATGCTGTGTAGTAGCTGATTACAGTTTGAGTAATCGAAATATTCTCAAGTTAATTCCTTGTCGAAATACATATATCCTTTACTTACGCTTGTGTGGCTCATATGTATCTGGTGCCCCTTTGTACCAATGTGTTTTTTAAAAAACTTACGTTTGTTACTCCCAATGGGGCATAGGCCGCCGACCAGCATTCTCCAACCCACTCTATCCTGGGCCTTTCTAGTTCTATCCAATTTTTGTCCATTCTTCTTATGTCTGTCTCCATTTCTCGGCGTAATGTGTTCCCTGGTCTCCCTCTTTTCCTTTGGCATTGTGACGCAGTTGGGTGATTTCTTCAATGTGTGTCCTATCCACTTTCAGCGCTTCTTCTTGATTTTTTCCTCCGGTGAAATCTGGTTTGTCCCTTACCAAAGTAGGTTGTTGCTGATAGTGTCTGGCCAACGGATCCGAAGTATCTTGCGTAGACAACTGTTAATAAACGTCTGTAACTTCTGGATGATGGCTTTCGTAGTTCCCCGGGTTTCCGCCCTATACAGTAGAACTGTCTTGACATTCGTATTGAGTTCCAGATGTTCTTCAGTTGTAAATATGCTGCTCTTGTTTTGCCGATCCGCGTCCTCACATCTGCATCAGGTCCACCGTGTTCATCAAATGATGCTGCCCAGATATGTGAAGGTTTTTACATCTTTCAAAGCTTCTCCGTCAAGTGTAATTCGATTGGTGCATGCTGTATTGTATCGGAGTCTTGCTTTTCCCTTTGTTTATATACTGAGACCTACTGCTGATGAGGCTACTGCTACACTGGGCGTCTTTTCCTGCATTTGTTGTTGCGTGTGTGATAGAAGAGCCGGATCATCTGCGAAGCCTAAATCGACCAGCTGCATCCTGGTTGTCCACTGTATCCAGCGAGTTTTTTTGTTGTATCATACAATTGTCTCATGTTTCCTTCTCTTGTAGCCTTTTCCGCTGTCAATGCTAAATCTACCACATATTTACGTTTGTTGGTTTTGATGCTCCTCTTCGCTTGCTTGTTTACATGTGTATTTAGCTCGTGCCTTGACTTTTTGTGCTCTTCTTCGGCTGGTATTGATTGCTGCCTTCTTATTTCTCCTTTCTTCAATCTTATCCAGAGTACCAACAGTGATCCATTCCTTGTGACGGTGCTTCTTGTGGCCACATATATCCCTGGATAAACTTTAAGGAATCATCTACTAATTATTTATTTATTTGGACACAAATGTTGATATAAACGGGCACCGAATACATATGCGTCACACAAGTCACTTGATTTGTACGTGGGCTGATACTTCCCGGGTGCCCAGACCGAAGCACGTGGTTTTCTTAGGGAGCCACACCCGGAGCCTTCGACCTAATAGTCTGATCCATAAGACAGTGGATCAACGTTAGGAGATGCAGTCCCACGGTAGCCGGTGACCAGTAATTGGTTCATACGCCATTTGTTCCTTCAGAATCTTGAAGTCCATGTGCACCATTGGTTTGGAATCAGGGTTTTCTGACTCTCCTAGTTGGACCCTCTGTGCCCACCAACCCGGTTAAGGAGTTGGCCATTTAATTGACATATCATCTGATATTATGGTCGACGAATAGTATGAGATAACATAACTGGATATGACAAGACCTGATCAAATTGCATGAATCCCACACTACACTTACCATACTAGAAGAGTTAACAAATGGACGTACTTAACCTAGTTTTAAAGTACCAGTAACATGATGTGACGGCCAGATGATTCGGTAAGTGCCTTGTAACAGAAATATATCTATAAAATCCGCAATTTTTATAGCATTAGCTGACAGTGTTCGTTCCTTCAACTATTGATACGCGCTTTAACTTCCAGTCTATATATTTTTTTCAAATAGCTTCCACAAGATGGTGAAGCGTCAAAAGACAACTTATAAGTTTAGTGTAATTTTACAGATATATTAGTTCTTTTATGAGCATTCAAATTACTTTTAGTATCCCATGAACTTAATTGTGCGCCATGACGACAGGGAAACTGGACATGAATCATATTAGCATGAGTAACTTTAGTTAAAAGCCGTGAAAACATAGCATTTTAAATTTCACATAAAGCTAGAGTAGTAACATGCTTAAACGTTCAATCGATTTACCGTATGCGACGCGGAATGACTCCTATCCAGTCGTCACTGCAATGTCTACAGAAGCTACTAAGTATCCCGATATTGGAGAAGTTATCATGATCATTTGCAGCTAGAAGAGTCAACTGCCCAGCCAACAGTCGGATACCATCAGCGTCTCGAAATATTCCGATTGTATTAAGATCAGCGAATAAGGCCAAATCAACTCGTAGTTTGGAAAGATTAGTGTTCTGCAGGACCTCTTTTAAAAAATTTATGTTGATTACCTTTAAATCTTTGTGGGAAGAGAATGATTTTTTCCACGCATCGAAAAACAACACTCCAAAATCTGCATACCGTTGGTACATCGCTGAACACAGCTTCAGCATAAAAGGAATATCAGTTAATTTTATTTTCGCTTCAACGATTGCGGTTGCGACTTCTTCAACATATTTAGAAAGATTCAGGGACTCGAACTCTGATAAAAGTGCATCTTTCTGGCTATCAAGAAAGTTTCGCTATCAAATTTTTAAAATTCGTAAAATATTCAATCTTACCACTTTCTTAACAAAAGCAGTATTCTTTTTCAAAGTTGAATCCTTTTTTACGAAGAAGGCATCATCTGGCCATTTGCCTGCAATTGCTAAATTTTGCTCCAACAGTGTTGTTCTCAAGGACAAACGTTCAGAAGTCTCAACAATAAACTCGGTTACTTGCTTTCTCTGAAAAAGTTACTAACTAGCTCAAAAAAAACATACATCTATTTCAGACATAATCTGGTCTTGTTCATTCATTTTTAGTTTATTTAGAATTTCACATTACACCACTGTAAAAAAGAGAAAAGTTTTCCACCAATCAGGAGGGGTTAAACAAATCTATTAAAGATTGGAATAAGCCTTGTTAACATGTACATATTATCTAATTGGGTTCTGCGTGATTGCCTCATAGACTTTTTATTTCAATAATTTGTATTTCTTCAATTGTATTTTTGATGACTAATTCGTTTTATTACCAATAATATTGTTAATACCTCTACTACTCTGAGGTTTGTCCTAACAATCTCATGTTGCGGCGTTAGTGGAATGAGGCAACTTGAACCGGACAAGCTTGCCACATTGTTTGACATCTTAATTCACCTTCATTGTAAATTTATCTTCCTTATGATGATGTGAAGTGTAGCAACTTTAATACAGATTTATGAAAGGTCTTACTGTATTTTCACACCGACTAAGATATCGTCGACAGGCATATTATTCCATAACGAATATCTAATGACAAAATAACCATAAGTAGTACAATTCAATAATATCGACTAGCAAGGTCTACAAAATGATATTACCTAATACTCCAGGAATGGTCACTTGGCTTTCCCAGATACTCTTATAATCACACTGTTACGCAGAAAACATTTGTTACATAACAATGACTAATAAAAATCACTTCCTAGGTCGGTAATTTTCTTTGAAAGCGGGCTATAGCAGACAATAAACGGACATACCGGATAATTACTTTCAAGCTATTGGTTAAACGGATGAAACCGAGTCATCATTGGTTTCTAATGGGTTCTTACCCTTAAAGTAACACCCTCCTAACTTACTTAGTTTCCGACGCCCACCATTACGATAGTTCAATTATGCATTGTTCGAGAAGGAGAACATAGTTCTTTCTAAGTGCAAACGGCAGTTAACCCATGATGTCTATTCCATTAGTTAAGAAAAAGTGGGCAAAATAATGCGTATAAGAGCATAGATAAAATCAACAACTTTAAGCGGACTATGGAAGACTGGATGAAAGATCCTGTAACAGGTTGGACAGACAAACATCCACAAGTTGTTATGTCACGTTGACACGAGATGAGAACAAAAAGATGAATAGCAAACCAAAAAGGATTAATGTATTAGCAATAATAAAAAGAACCTCGTGCATTATTTGGAAATATAAAGTGAAAAGGTACATACGAAGGGAAACTGGAATTCAAGGCCGATAGAAATGTAAACGATGAACCAACCCGCTTTATTGTGAGCATTTCTCAGTCGTTTAACGTGTAGCATCTGACTACCGACCGCAGTTGCCACGTAGACCAGAACTAGACGGTCTACACCTATAAACAAGGCTGAGGACAATGACTTGACAGACTGAAGCCCTGTTTTGGCTTGACCGCCATTAGCTTCTCTTCAACCCACACACTAGTGGGCATTTTCCGTCAGGGTAGGCACACGCAACACATGTTGGTAGAGATTAACATTAACACGTGTGCCTGGTACTCTACGCCTAACCTGTTTCAGGTTATCAAAAGCCTTTGTAAATCTCAACCAGTAAAAACATAACTGCCTGACCTCAAGGAATTATATGCTCATTGGCCTTTAATTTCTTCGCAGCTAATGACATTCGAGAGTTGGTTATTTGCTATGTAAATAGATTGCGTGGAAACCATCAACCACTTTCATATAAATCCAACACTACAACACGGTGATTTGAGATCCCCATTACGATTCAGAATTTAAGGTACCAGTGACCGTATTTACTTTACAAATAAGCCTGAGATTTTAAGATAATAGAACTATAGTACCTCCATACTTAACCACCGCTTACTCTGATATGTAATGCTACGTCAGTCAGTCAGCCACAACATAGGACCAGGCACATATATGCATCGGTCCAAGTTGCCATACTTCGTTAGCACAACAAGATGAACACCGGATTCATAGAAGTAATTAATTTAGTGGTGGTAGTATATAAAGAAAGGTTGTATATAAGGATATAGTACAGGAAATAATGCTACGTGACGTAGGCGGATGTAAGAAATAAAGCAAGCGATGAACAGACCACGACACCACCGACAGAACCATTGACTGTTAGCTTCAGTCTTGGTAGGAAATAAACTAACTGGTCACAGTTAACATAATTGTGACTGAAGATGAGATGACTCGTGGTCGATCATAAAGTTTAGAATTATTTAATTTTGCTGACTCATTTCCAACAATTCACTCCTTATCCTCCAGCCTTAATCCCTCACAAACCATATTTTCTGATTTGGTACTTTTACTACAGGACTAAGGGACTCTTAGGAGCGATGAGATAAACAATCTCATTATTTGTAGTCTCACACTTAAACCCCCGATAAAACTAGTGGTGTCAAGGATAAATGACGAGCTTGTTCGAGGAAATAGTAAAAAAGGTGACAACGTAAACCAGGGTTAGGAGTACACCACGCTAAATTAATCAACTGTTCCTAATGTCAATACTATTATTACTGTTATCCTTTTAAGATGTAGAGTTTGAGGGTCGATGTTACTGGTCAGTGACTGAAAAAGATGTTTAGGTCAAGAGTGAATAGTCTACAAGATATGAACAGAAGAAAACTAAGATGACCGGGTACCTGAATGTTCATCAAAACCACTTACCTCCAGTGTCCAAAACGGCGCCAGACACATTTATGAACCAATAGTCCCGCCAGCGCTCTTTCTTCCAGCCCTGTAAAACATTGCTCAAAACCAGCTGTTTTGCAGTTGTTGCTGATGCATCGAAACAGGTTACTGTCCTACTTAATTATATATTAGCGCATCACGGAACCTACCACATATAATTAAGTAGAAATTAGGTAGAAATATATCAGAGTATTATTTACATGACAACAAATACTTACATGAATTCCCTCCAGAACTTGAGGTAGCTTGTCCCGTGTATTATTCTGAAGCGTCTCCATCACATAATTTTGACCTTAGCTTGGACGAAACTTCTTTACCACCTCTCCACCTTAGGAGGGTATTCTCATACAATGATGAGTTCAAGTAAAAGTACTAAGAATATGGTAAAAAAAACGTACACAGAGCCTTTACCTTAAAACCTGTTCACTACACAAGCAGAAGGGGCATATCACCATAACGAGTCATACTACCGATCATCTCTCCCGTGAAAGATTACTAATCCACCGCAGTATCAAACCATACCTAGGCAGGAATAGCTAAAGTTAGGAATATGAAAAAGCTCGGAAAAATATATGCAAATTGTTTTTTGGTGAGAATTTCCGCTTTGCTGAATTCGCTGGTGGAAAATATAGTGATGGTGATCTTGCTGACCAGCCGAAAAAGGGCTTGACATTCACTTTCGTCCTAAACGTACTGAAAGAGACTGCTCTACTACCCCTTAGTCACTACTTTTATTGCTGAGCTATACTGTATTTTTTAGGATTCTTGTAAAGATTTAAGCGACAGTTATACTCTGTTGTAAATAAGAAACGTCTTCGCAACACACTCAAATTCCATGGACTTGATAACTAGTAGTTTGTTCCCAAAAAGTCTTGAAGTTCAGAAACCAGAAGTCTGGTAGGGGCATGAAAGCACAAGAACGTCCTCACGATGCGCCAGCAAAATCAATTGTAACCCTTTATCCCGATATCTTTATTTAGAAGCTAACCACTCTTTTAACATCCATTTGTTTCTTTCTGTACACCCGTTCGTCTGAGGGTGATACGTTTAGTTCGTATCCTCTTGATGCCAAAATGCTTTAAACGAGCTTTCAACTCTTCACTTTCAAAACAGAGATCCTGGTCGGTTAATATTATCCCCAGTATTCCTTAACACGCTGCAATATGCCGGATCACTACTCCTGTCAGTTTTTGCCCGCAGATCTGCCATGCGTACGGCGTTTACCCAACGTGTGGCATGTTCCGGCGTCACTAGCAGTCGTCTAGCATGTTTCTGACTTGATTGAAAGTTTGTTGGGAGGCATAAGTTCACGTAAGCTTAGTGTTGCTCAACAACTTATATAGAGCTGTTGTTATTTCGATGAAGTTCTTGATAAACCGACTGCAGGACACCGCCCTTCCCAGGAACTGTCTCAATTCTCTTTTTGAACTAGGTACTGAAATCTTCTTCAAGGTTATAATTTTTTGCGAGAGTGGTTTTATTTCTCCATTTCCTACTTCATACCCCGAAATTCGTGATGCTACTTTTCGCTATCTGCGACTTGTCCTTATTAATTCGAAGTTCGAATTCTTCAATTCGCTTTGGGACCACTACCACATGCCTGATGTGATATGTTTCTGTCTGGCTGTACACAACTACATCATCGCAATACACCTCAAAATTATCTAGACTACTGAGCAGTAGCGACATTAATCTTCTGAACGTAAACGATGCACCCGCCAACTCAAACGGCATTGAATGAAATGTCTTTGGCTCTTTCCGGGCTTCTTCAGGCTTCCTTGAGTTTGCCGACGAGCCATCCTTACAGTTGTAGATGAATCGCCCAGTAAGTAGAGGAGGTGCAACGTAAATGAGTCAGGCTTACATGCATCCAGTTTTAGCTCTCAATATGCTACGAGTTTCCAGTTAGATGGGCTGAGTTGAGCCTGCCATTTATCTTTATTTCTAGACAGAAGGAAGATTTTTAACTGACAGTAGGGCAGTTCTAATTGACTAGTGGTTAACAAGCGATGAGATAGTTGCTATAAATTGCGTTGTCCTGTTGACTTGGGGTTGGAAAGTCCAGATCTGAATGTGTTTACAGACAGCTATAATATTTGACGGGAAGCTAAAGTTCTGAATTTAATTATTCGGTGAAAGCACAAGCAAACATTTCAGTAGTAATTTATTTTGCATGTAATGCCCCTGTCCAGCATGTAGAACGGCACACGACGAATTCGAGGTATGTAAATTCACTTAATTCTGAGAAAGTTTCTACAAGGTTGAGGTATACTTGATCAAAACTACCACCGGAATAACAAACGAACCTGAGGGACATCTTCTAAATTTAGTTAACTTGTATTTTTACAGTTTTATCGGGGAACTTCTCACTCCTTCTGGCTAAAATGGTTTGGTATTACCAAGGTGTTTTCGACTGTCTATTAACCAGCTAACCTATGCCGTTTCATAGGCTTTCTTCTGAAAGTGACTTTCATATGAATTTAGGTTCAATCGATTTCTTAAACAAAGGATGTCAGTTCAATATCCACAGCTTGATGAAGAATCCTTAATCCGTTCAATGTTTGGCTTTCTTACTATTTTGGTGAATGAGGGCCATAGCTCAGTCAATATTCAGAGATAGTCAACAGACTTCATATCCTTTATTAACTTGTTATATTACCTCGATAGCATTTACTTCCTTTCCACAAATTATCACACATGAGTTGTTGTGCGTGTTCTGTGCATGGTAATCAGAGCTGTCAAGAAAATGGATGGTAATATAGTGAGACAAAGATATCTGAGCCGCCGGTTTGTTGCCCAACACCATTTGGGAGAGGTACAAATTGCTTATGTTCTGTCAGACTATTAGATGATTACTAACCTGACTCCTAAGTCATCCCACTGTCAAAACAAAAAGAAGCCTATTTTTTGTAAAAGCAAACCGATAGTCGGTCAATCCTAAAGATGTAACCTTATTTTCGTATAAAATAATTTGATATCTCAAGAAAATGAACGACTACAAGTGACAAACGCTCGGTTCTTCATACATGTACGATCTCATAGAACGCACTGGTAATATGGAAGGAAATAGTCACAGTGTAGACATTTTAGGCACGAATTGGAAACTAAAAAAGACTTTTATCAGAAAAACGATATCAGTTTGAATCTGGCAGAAGCCAGGTTCATCACCCAACCCGATTAAATACATGACCATTTACGACCTGGTTCGTAACCTTAAATACCCAAAATGTCTACTGACCAGGAGTAATCAAGACATAGAATATGAAAAAAGGTCAAAAAATATTCAATGTCATGTCCTATAACTGAATTGACTTTGAAGGGTCACCGATACAATCAGAGTATGATATTACTAACCATGTGATTGGCTTGGTGTTAATATTCATGTTATAATAAGGAGGCTTTATTTACAAAATCGAAGAGGCCGAGTCGTCTTACACTCTACAAATGCACATATTGGTCATGACAATCGTCGATAATCGAGCAACGTGAAAAAATATTACAACTACGTCTATTGTGCATGGATATGGTATATTGGTTGGGCATGTGACCCAGCACCCATGACAACGATGGTTTGAGTAAGTACAGAGGTGCTGCTTCCGTACACGGAACTCGCATCCTTATCAGGTTTTTTCTGTTTTCAGATATATGGAAAAGGTGTAAACGTACGTTCAGTCGGAACAAGTGTTTAACCTCCAAACCTGGATGACTTCTGTGGTTTGTGTACGCCATTAACCAGTTCTGGGGTTAACCAAATATAAAAGTTACTGTGATCGTAGTAACTATCTTCAAAATTTTAAAGTTCATGCTGGAAGTGAATTGGTTATAATTCTTAACGTCAGCGAACAATGTTAATAATATCGAAGACAATAGTGAGCAAATCTAGCCAATTTACTTGTCGGCCTTTAACTTGTTGGATGACTAACAAAGTCAAAAATATGTAGGTCATTTCTCGGTTTACCATTCCTAAAGGTATTAAATTTACTTTCAACACACGTAAAGGAAAGACCAACCCACGGGCTATTCAGGACAAAAATAGATGTAATTGTGACAGTTAGGGAAAGGAATTTGTGTAGATTGTAACAATTTAACAGTTGAATTCATGAATCGATAAAGGCTAAACCACCGTGGAAAACCTGGAAGCACTGGAGTTCGAGTCCCGTGTGTGGAATCGTAGATGCACACTGCTGAGAAGTCCTATCTCAAGACGAAACAGCCGTCAAGTGCTCCTAAGTGTTCCATAGTGGCCTAGCTTTATTTGACTCACGAATTCAACTATTCAGGTAAGAAACGGTTAGTACAATAGAGTGTGTTGGCAAGGCACACTGCAGTGCATAGCACAGATTGGTGGGTAAAAGTTTAATGTATGAACAGCAAGAGTATTTTGTGCTCATATTACTAATAATAAAACGTAACAGCCACATGTGCAGTAGGATTTAGTCACACCAGCTTACGCCTGTTACTCCTCCTTGAGGAGTATAGGACACTCACCAGTATTCTCCATTCAACCCTGTCCTGGGCAATACTCTCCAGTTTTTCAAGTTAATATTCATCCTTTTTACATCAGCTTCTATTTCCCGACGTAATGTGTTCTTTGGTCTTTCTCTTTTCCGCTTTCCTTCAGGATTCCAAGTTAACGCTTGCCTCGTGATGTAGTTTGGTTATTTCCTTGATGTATTTCCGATCTATTTCCAACGTCTTTTCCTAATTTCCTTATGGTATCCACTCATTGAATGTTGAGTATTTTGCATAGGCAACTATTTATATATACTTGTAACTTCTTGACGATGGATGTAGTAGTTCTCCATGTTTCCGCTCCATACAGTAGGACTGTCTTGACGTTCGTATTGAAGATTCCCACTTTGAAGTTAGTTGACAGTTGTTTTGAGTTCCATGTGTTCTTGAATTGTAGGAATGCTATCCTTCCTTTGCCAATCCTCGCCTTAACATCTGCATCAGATCCTCCTTGTTCATCAATGATGCTTCCCAGGTGCGTAAATGTTTCCACCTGTTCCAGAGTTTCTCCACCAAGCGTGACTGGGTTATTGTTCT